ACCCCAAATTGTTATCAATTGGAAATTTGACCCGAAGCGATTATTCATTGATGAGTGTAGATACCTAGCTTTGATTTTGTACTTTGATAAGTCACTGTAATAAAAGAGTAAAAGTTGTTACACTGACTTTGCTGCCTTATTTTTTAATTATACTTTTTAACAAACAACTATAACCTATCTATACGCCATCAGTAAGGGAAACAAATATGATCATCCATACTTTTCTTGCTGTTATTTGTCTTAAAATAGCAGTGCATAACTGAATGGTTTACCTGCTGACTGCACTGTAAAATCAGTGAAAATGCTTAATGCTCAGGAAAATCATAAGGAACATTTTCCATTTGATGGAAACAATTATTTTGCGTTACTTTGGCAACAGTAGCATAAGGGATGATACCAAAGTTGTCAAAGTACTGTACTACTATTTTTATCATGGAACCTGTGACCAGATATCAATTTCTTGTAACCAACTGTTTTTAAAAAATGTCGAAAATGATGGGGTTTCTCGTCATTGTTAATTTCAGCCATTTTAGCTCACAAGAGTTAGAGTTTTTTTTTAAAATAAACGCAAAATAAACAAAATATAGATGGTTTAAAGCTTGTCACAGACTTAGTGGATCAAACAGTAGTATACAAACGTTTGTTGGCCAGTTTATTTTAAAACAACATTTTAGATGCATAACAATTTGCATTGAAAACTGTTCAGAAATGAATAGAGCTCTGTGTTTAATTCAATAAAGAGAAAATCTGATATATCTTGATGCCTTTTTAGCTCATCTTAAAGGTGAGCTACTGTCATTGCGCACTGTGTGTCGTCTGTCGGTGTGTTTCTCAACATTTCCCTTGTGAACACATTACAGGTCACATTTTGTATCCCATCTTCATCAACATTGTTCAAAATGTTTATCTAATTGATTTTCTAGGTCAATTTTTAATCTGGGTTATCTGGGGTCATAAACTAGGTCACTAGTTGAAATCAAGGAAAAACATAGAGAACACTTTAAATGCTGTATTTTCAACTTGAACAACTTAAAAGTTTATGAGAATATTTGTGTGGATAATCTTTAGGTCGAGTTTGAATCTGGGTCATATGGGGTAAAAAATAGGTCAAATTAAAGAAAAATATTTTGAACACTACATGTTTTTTTTTCAGTTGGAACAACTTGTAAACTTATCATAGGTCATATATGTAGGTCAAAGTTGAAACATTGTCTTTTGGGGTTAAAAAGCGCTAAAATTTGATCCCTTCTGGAGAACATTTGGCAAGTTTTTAGTACTGCCTACAAAAAGCTCACATGGTTTATTTTCTAATTTCCTACATACGGTCTACTAAGATTTCTAGCAATGTTTATTCTAAGTCAGATTTGTCATGCAATCATCAATGTAGAATCAGAATGTTTCAAGAGAGGTCTCGTGTTTAAGTTCTTTTATTATTTTTTCCGTTTGACATTTGACCTGTTCTAACAATAAGTAAAGCGAACTCGAGATCGGCCTTGAAATTTTAACTGGCAGTTAAACATAAAAAGCATATACTTCTGAAAACTATGAACATCAATGTTTATTCATTAAAAAGTATATAAATTATTGTCTAATGTTCAATCATCTGGATTTGTTTCATATTCAATATCCTACAAATCAGCATTAACACCATAATCAGTAGAACCTGAAAGTTCTATTACATTTAACAACATTTTATTTCTGGTCTTCCAGTACAAGTGCATATGTCTACATGCTTCTGTGGTCGCACATTGTGTAAATTCTAGTGAATACAATGCGATAAAGTCCCGCTTGAAGAACATTCGCTAAATAAAATCGAAAGCATTTTGCATGAATAGGGTTTGACGTATCAATTCGTCCACGAGCTCTCAAATCCTTCAACGTATTCATCCACCTTGGTACCATAAGCCGTCCCCGCTAAACTGCAATTCTTTTCCTACTTCTTTTGGAGTAAATATGACACGGTGACGCCCGTAATAGTTACAACGAAGTATCCTCTTTAACTGACGGAGACCAAGACGTATGTTGTGGGAAAACAATTTGTGCGTACTTGAAGTCACCATGAAAGTACTGCGTAATCACTTTTAACCTGGTGCTTCCGTTTCCAGATGGCAATAGGGATGACACATTTGTTGATACAGGAGTCACTTTCAATAAAATGATAACGGCAAGCAGCAACGGGATCTCCATGTTTACGACCTTAAAAGAAATATAAAGAAATGAAATATAGCGTTATAAAAACAAAGGGCTGGGGCTGTAAACATGTAATATTGTTATCCACCACCAACAACTAAACATTATCGTTAGACAAACCTAACCCCTGCCAAGCAGGTATATTGCTGTCACTTTTAAAACTTCAACCAGAACAAAATGTATTGGTAAACTTTCTCAACTACTGCTTTTGACACCATGTAGTCAATAAAATGTAAAGCGGCACCATGATAAAAGTAACATATCTTAATGGTTTCAACTGTTAGCATGAAAATATAATAATCGAGATATAATATTTCTCGGAATGTTTATTGTATATAAATAAAAAATGACAATTACCTGTAAGCAGCTTTATCGAATTTGCCAATTTTTCTTTCGTGTAGCAACCTTTTGTAAGAGACCGTTGAATTCAAATACCCGCGTCTTATGTATTATGTTCTTAATTTTTGAATATTAAGAATTAAATTTTAAATATTAAGAATTAAATAATAAGTTTTAAGTTTTAAATATTAATTTCAAATGTCCCTCCAGGGCTTCCATAGGAAACACTGACTATTTGTATTTGTTATAACTATATTTAAGCAACTTAATATAAATCAGAACAAAAGTCGTTGATGATCAATTACTTTTTTAATACTCATTTTGCACGATGTGCAAATACCGGATATCTTATGTATCGGCAGACTTTTCTATTTAATCACACTTTGATTTTATCATTCATACCACAGCTGTCACCTCAACACTTCATTACGCGCAGATTGTCTCAAAGCATGTAATTTGTATGTAAGCGGACTCAAAAACGTCTTAAATACAATGTTACAAAAGGAAGTAAATAAATATGTACATACCAACGTGTGCATTGTACCATAATGGGTAATTTCTGCTGTGTATGTTACAAAAAGTTATATCACAAATCTTAAAGACATATTATGCCTTAGAAACAAATAAAATTTTACTTCTTGCAATAAATGAGAAATAACTTGTCTTAAGTGTAGCAAAATGTAAACAAAGTAGTACTTCAAATGACTTCCATACCAAAAACATGGTTATGAGCAACTTTTTTGATACTGTAAAAGTACTCTTAAAAAACAATGCTAACAAACTGCTGACCCTGTTAAATGTTACTTTACAAGAATCAGGATTAAAAATAAGAACAATTTTTCGACGAGATTCACAAAATCAAACATATCATGGACACAGATTTTTAAAACGATGCAATTTGTCTGATGTGAATCAGGTCTACAAATCTATAACTTAACATTAACAAACAATTTTGAATCCCTCATTTATTAATACATGTAGAATCTTGTTAACCATGGAAACCACATTAACAGCTGAACCCCATTAAGCCTTGAAATCCCTACTGTACTAGTATATACCACCTCCGTGCCGAATATATAACAAATCATTCTCCTGACACCTCCTCGGGTTCGTCTTTTCTTGTGGATTTCCCCCACTTCTGAGTGTATCACTGAGTTATTGTCGTTGTTATGATAATCACCACGAACTGTTGATAACGTTACCTAATTTTAAAGCCATATCGACTTACTTTAAAACGTTTATATTTTGTCAAGTAATACATGTAGAAGGCCATGGCTTGAACTTACAAAAGAAAAAATGTCAAGTAAATTTATAACATAGTCAGCAGTTGTTTAGGCATGATCCGATAGTTGAAACCCGAGTTTACCACACACACAAACACAAAATAAAATAAAATAATAAATAAAAGATAAAAAGAATGAAAAAAAAAATCGAAATCGGATACATCCTAACATGTCATTTTATCTACCCCATATTTACATTTGTATATCAATTACATTTGTATATATAATTACTGTTGTCGACGCATCGAACTGTTGTCTGTTTTCTTTTATTGTGCTGATTGTACGTATTGATTTTGGAACAAGATATATAATTCATATATAGTACAACAAAATCAATGGTGTCCAAATACAAAATATGTGCACCAGCTTTTGTCACATTGCTTATCAGTAGTAATTGTTTCTAAGTTGAACAGTAATGCAACATGTTGTATAGATTTTAAAACCGCTTTTAACTGGTTTGTCATTAGGAAATAACGCTGTGCAGTAAGAGATCTTAAATCCGCTCTATACCGGCTGGCATTTAGAAATAAGGATTCGTATGCAGGAGAATAAATACAACTATTTAGATATGGAAGCAAAGACCTTTTACTTATCCAGAAATAGCATACATTATTTATAGTGACATTTCAATAACACAGTAACATGTTTAAATATTTAGAGAAATGAGAAATGTTTCCAGTATTATAAACCTCTGGAGAATATATATGATATTTAGTAATTATCAAATTGAAACAAAAAAAATAATAATAAAAAAAAATACAAAAATAAAATGATTCCCATTCTGCTTTTGTCTTTAATGTAGCAAAAAGTCACGTTTTCAATTCACGGATAGGATGTCATTTAATATCTAAGATACAATATTTTATTTTTTTTTATATAAAAGCCATGTTTTTTCAATATGCTTGGTTTTAATAAGTTATATCAAATAAATTCAAACTCACTTGAGTATCGGAGTACACATTTTATTTTCTTGCGTAAAAGCCTATGAAACTTTATTGTGGTGGTTGTTTTGCCACTCGTGCCTGTACATGTGCACGAGCTGAAGTGGGAAAGATAGGCGGGAGAGATTACCAGTCAGTAAAGCCGGACATATTGTGATAAAATCCAGTAATACAATAAAACATGCAAAACCAATGTTATATAAATTATATAACAATCATAAAATTCAACCATAAATTCAACACTTACCAGATATTCCGTTAAAAGAGGTTTAAACTCCTCCATAACTGTCTCCTTTTTTATGCACGTCGTGCTCATGTTTCAACAATTAATTCCTGAAACAATCATGTTAATAGACATACAGAATCATGATGCGTTTTCTCTCAGAAATGTAACTATTGTATTTTCAATACATACATACTTGAGTCACAATATGTTATCTTAGTTCAATATCAGATGTTATATAGGCTCTATATTGCGGGAAGTCTATCAAATAACATTGATTTTGAATTCCTAACATTTTCCTAACAATAATAATGTCAGATGGAAAAAAGCTGTCTTACAATGAATAAGAATCTTGTGTCTTTATATGTTATAAAACACTTTATTACCATAACTAATAGTGTATGCAAATGTGCCTAGAAATGTGCTCTTATACTGTAAAGTGTTTGTTTCTCGCAAGGAAATTGATTTCGCGTTTATTTGGTGTGGAAACTTCAATATTATAACTAGTTCACCTTCTATTAGCTTTTTTTCATTGGAAAGAAGGGCTACGTGCTAACCAGTTATGATTCTAAAGTCCGTTGACAATTGGATGACGTTGCAGAAAGAATGCACAGGTGACATTTACAGTTGATATCTTGCGGTCCGAGTCAATTTGGCAAAATATTCAATGAAAATAAATTGAAACCAAGGAGCAACGTTATTATAACAACCACAGGGATGTTCACCAAATCAAAATGCCAAATACTAGTTGTTTGCGATCTAGCATTGTGTTATTTTAGAAACAAATGTAAACAATGGCTAAGAAGAAATTTTTTCCCCCAAACTATTCATTCTCCTCCTCGAAGCGTTAAAGTTAAATATAGATATATATTTCGATTCTGTAGACACCCAGATAATTCAGATAATTTATTTACAAAATGCACACGTCCCACAATAGCGGAAAACATCAACAGTATACTTACATAAATACATACAAACACACACAAAAAAAAAAAATAAAAAAAAAAAATAAAAACAACAACAACAGAAAACAAATAGTTGGAGTGCTTTTGATGCAGTTAATTAATTATTAAACAAATATACAAATGTTTGCCTTTTTATATTATATAAATGAATGTCAACAATGTTAAAAACTTTGAAACTGTTCACTTTATGACATTCTTCAATTTTCTGTGAAATCTTCTGATAGCACCATTTTTCTTTTCAGATGGAGGGCGGGGGACATGATCTTGCGTGGTTGCATCTGCTGATAAATGTGGAACATCTTCATTCTGGTTTGAAACTATTGGTACACGGGGAACATGTCCTTGTTTGCCAGGAGCTGCTGATGATTGTTGGACATACGTTTGCTTAGATACATCTGTTGGTGGATGGGGAACATAACCATGCGTGGCTGCAACTGTAGGTAGATGTGGAACATGGCTACGAGCGGCTTCATCTGTTGGTTGATGTGGGGCATACACGCGAGAGGCTTCAACTGTAGGTTGATGTGGAACATGGTCGCGAGTGGCTACAACTGTTGGTTGATGCGGAACATATGCCCTTGGGGGAAAAGCTGTAGGTGAATTTTGTAAACTTTCATCTTTGACCTCAATCTTTGGAAGATGCATATTATGTCCGTCTTTGAGTTCAATTTTTGAGAGATGGGGAACATGTGCTGCTGCAACTGTTGGTTGACATGACAAATTCAATCGCGCTTTTGATACTGGTGGAATATGTGGTAGAAATCCACATGCAGTTTCTCCTTGCGTGTGTGTACCATTTTTCTGGAAATGTTCAGCAGGCTTAGCAAATGGTTCAGGGCTCATTGCACAGGCTCTTATTCTATTTATTTCTGGAAGGAAATGCACAATATTATTATTTGATGTGCATTCATTTTCGTCTTCATCTAGATTAACCTTTTCTATTTCTATCTCCTTCAGCGAGGTGTTGTTTTCTTCTTGTGCAAGTACTTCGCGAATAGTGGCAATTTCTGTTGTGTACCAATTATCTTTCTTGAGCAGACGCTGCTTCCTCTTTTGCTCTGATTCAAGGGACTGCTTTGCTAATTCGTATGCTTCAATAACATCATCAGAAATACCTTCTTCGCTCTGTTTTGTTAGCTGCATTACTTTTCGCTTCATGAGCCTCCTTTTCTGTACTTTCAGATCTCGGTTTACTTCATCTTCGCAAATTAGCTGGCTTCGACAATTGCTAATGGCATCAGACTGTCTTCTTATTTGCGATTTGTAATCTTCAATTTCATTCTTTAAGTTCTGGATTTCAGATTTCTTTCGTATACACTCATCATTATCAATTTGCTGAGCAGATTTCATGCTTGCAAGGAGCCTAAGGAAAGGAAAGGAAATACAGATTTGAAGGAAAACAAAATATAAGCAAAATTTTCATACAGAAAACCGCCATATAAAGACCCCCTGTCATAAAAGGCTACATTTCTAATCAAACATTAATAGTGTAAAGGTACCTAATCTGAAGGCTCACTATCTTATTTCTCAAAAGCTTTCTTTATTTCCTGTTACAGTTACCCAAAAGTTAATATTTGGTCAATTACTTTTCCGTTGCTTTAGAAATACAGTGGTAGTGAATAGTGTTTTTGTGAAAGTCAAAATACGAATTTGTTGACATTTTATTACTTTTATGACAACTAATTTCACATTTAACTCCACTTACTCCAAGTCATAAGCACACACCATGCTATAAAACCGTTAATTTTACGTTATAAAGCTATTTTTTTAAGAAAAAAGTTTCTTTTCTAAGGCATTATTGCCTTTATCAACTATCTCCTTGAAAGGCCATTATCACAAAAATATATATTGAACTGATAAACAGATTTTGTTTTTGGTCATAAAACATGTTTCCAACATTTATTAGTTGCTTTACTTAACACAAGAAGAGCAGAATTAAATTATGAATGTCTTTTTTATTTCAAGCAAACACTTACTCTTTGTTTCTAGCAAAATTTTCTTTTTCTTGTTCGAGGTATCGTTGCTGGTTGGTCATGTACTTCTTCAAGAAGTGGATGTTGTATGTGTAATCTGCCCTGTTCCACTCAGCTGGATCTGTAAAAGTTTGATCATTAGTTTAAAATTCTACAAATGCGGGAAAACACACCGATAAATTTGACCACACAGTTTTATGCAGCAAAACGAGCGGTCGCCAATGTCGATCTATAGTCTTTTTAATTATGTGTCACATAGAAAACTCTTACCTCGACAAAACTTATATTAACTGATTTATTTTTTTCATAATAATAGTATGTTAGTGGTTGGCAATGAAATGGCGCAATTTTCCTTTTGGCATGCTTGCAGAATGTATCTACGTGCACAAGATAAATGTTAAAAATCTTCAAAATTTCAGCAATTTGAAAGACGAAAATTGCCTAGCAGACCATTTACATTTCGATCAACCATCAGTATCATTTTTTATTATCAATTTCTATAAAATAGCATTGATCATTAATCCATCCAATTATCACGTAAGATATAAGCGATCATGATTTCGATGCTTTATATAATTTGTACATGTACATGTATATTAATTTTCATATAAAGCCTCCAGATGAACCAACATATTTTTAGAAAATCAACCATGGGAGAAATGTTCTACATGTAATACTTTAAGAAAAGGGTCTAGCTCAGTAAGGGCATTTCATCATATTCTGATCTATTTTGGGGGGCAATTCTCGTAGACTAAGGTGCCGTTAGAAATTATTTTCCTTGTTTACTTGACAATATTTTAATAATCAATACATTTTAAAAATCTTCTTGAAAATCAGCATTAACCTTGAGGCATGATGCTTAAATGATCAGAACATTAAGAAAAGGCAAAGAAAAAAAGGAAGAAAGGAGGAAAGAAAGAAAGAAAGAAAGAAAGAAAGGAGGGAAGAAAGAAAGAAAAGTAGTCAGATAGTCAGACTATAAACTCCTGTATGCCACTCCTGTGTTTTTATGTATTTTTGTTTACCAGTCATCTAGTTTAACAATCATAAAATAAGCAGCAAGAGTTACCATCGCTGAATGTCGGTTCGTCTAAGAAGGTGCAGGTCTTGGAACACAAACTTCTGCACCGAGTATGATCACCACCGCCATCCGACGTCCCAAAGTCAGCACCTAGGTCGGTTTGTTGCCCCGACAACGGGTACCTGTAATAATGTAAAATAGTTTCGTTAAACTTTATTGCATACCGCTGTGGCAATTCTCTTAATCAATGCAGAATTAATTTTAATTCGAGTGTATATGCTTACAGACACACACTCGAATCTGACACTTGAACCAATCAGTACTGATAATCACTATCATTACAAAATATTTATAGAACATAAATACAGTACAGGTATTTTGAAGAAATACAGATTAGTCCTTTTTATACTGGAAAACTTATCGGCTGCCAAAATTGCAAAATAGAGAAACACAGAACCGCTTAAGAAAGCCCAACACGGCAAAATGAAAGAATACAGGTAAAGTTTGATTGAGCCTATTCATGGACCGTACTGGAAAGTGCAAGTTACCATCCACGCCAAAAAGAACCGACTAAGTTTCCGAGCCTTTGCTCTGGTACCAAGCTGACTATAGGGTTTTACAGCCAAGCTGACTGTAGGGTTTTGCAACCAAGCTGACTGTAGGGTTTTACAACCAAGATGACAGTAGGATTTTACAACCAAGATGACAGTAGGGTTTTACAACCAAGATGACAGTAGGGTTTTACAACCAAGATGACAGTAGGGTTTTACAACCAAGATGACAGTAGGGTTTTACAACCAAGATGACTGTAGGGTTTTACAACCAAGATGACTGTAGGGTTTTACAACCAAGCTGACTGTAGGGTTTTACAACCAAGCTGACTGTAGGGTTTTACAACCAAGATGACAGTAGGGTTTTACAACCAAGCTGACTGTAGGGTTTTACAACCAAGATGACAGTAGGGTTTTACAACCAAGATAACTGTAGGGTTTTACAACCAAGATGACAGTAGGATTTTACAACCAAGATGACAGTAGGGTTTTACAACCAAGATAACTGTAGGGTTTTACAACCAAGATGACAGTAGGATTTTACAACCAAGATGACAGTAGGGTTTTACAACCAAGATGACTGTAGGGTTTTACAACCAAGATGACTGTAGGGTTTTACAACCAAGCTGACTGTAGGGTTTTACAACCAAGATGACTGTAGGGTTTTACAACCAAGATGACAGTAGGGTTTTACAACCAAGATAACTGTAGGGTTTTACAACCAAGATGACAGTAGGGTTTTACAACCAAGCTGACTGTAGGGTTTTACAACCAAGATGACAGTAGGGTTTTACAACCAAGATGACAGTAGGGTTTTACAACCAAGATAACTGTAGGGTTTTACAACCAAGATGACAGTAGGGTTTTACAACCAAGATGACTGTAGGGTTTTACAACCAAGATGACAGTAGGGTTTTACAACCAAGATGACAGTAGGGTTTTACAACCAAGATAACTGTAGGGTTTTACAACCAAGATGACTGTAGGGTTTTACAACCAAGCTCAGATTACTTAAGAGTAATCAACAGACAATTAAACCATCAAGGTTTAGCACATTGGTAAGTTTAGAAAGGCTGATAATACAGGGTATCAAATAGGTGTACTTGCATAAGTTTTCATCAAATCCATTTTTTTTGTACTAAATAATTCCTTATAACATAACCTTGAGAGTAGAGCGCACTACTGGCCATAGACCTTTTTATAGTTAAATGTTGATTTTTTTTATAATTATTATCATAAATTATATATGGTCAGACTGTAAGTATGCTCAGGCAAGCCCGGTTTATAATGTGGTATAAGCACGTGTTTATTACTGAGAACATTAAAGATCCTCTATGTTGTAATTAAGGATGTAACATACAGTTTTAAGTGAAGTTTTATACAACTTATGTATATAATTATTTTTCTAAAACAAAATTCAAACATTCTTGAATATGTTAAACATGTACAGCGAATGGTTATATGCAGTATAATTAAACGTTAAAGTTAATGCATTCATTTTTTATTGAAAAAAAATAAAAATAACAAAGTCTTAGACTTTATTGAAATTGAATTCCTAATTACCTTTACCTCCCTTTATTTACAGGTAATGTTAAATTCAGTAATATCTTTACAAATACTTTTTTGAAACTTACAATATTGATACATTTTCATTTGAGCATCAGATTTATAATATAAAGCCATAAAAAAATTGCGTTACATGGTTTTTAAGATAGTTAAACCAATTCAATAATGTTTTATCGTAGTCAAACTAAAAATAAAAAAACATAATCTCTATAGAGCGGCCTTCTGTAGAGCAATAACCTCTATACAACGACCATATCAATACTCCCCAATGTAGACTGCACAATATATTTAACCTCTCTATAGCAACAACCTCTAAGCACCAACCAAAATCATTACCGCCAATAAGGTTGTTGCTCGACAGAGGTTTTGCATTTTCATAATTTGTTTGGCTGAGATTTTGTGGTCTACATTTATAGAAATATACTTAAAATATAACGAGCGACTCATTTTCATATACTTATATAGGTCATATGATATTAACGTATAAATGTATTATTATTTTTTACGAACAGCTGTACTCTTATGGAGTTCTAACACAATGTAATTATAAGTAAATCCGACAGAAAACTTAGCTCTACAAAAAACTTAAACAAATCAAGAAAAATATAGCTAAACAATAACTCACATGCAATTAGAATGTCTGTTTGAAAATTTTATGACAATGTCTTCTTTCAGATAAACCTTCTTCGTCGTTCTGGAGAGCGTTACTTCCGTTTCTAACGTTATAACGTTACAGTTTTTGAAGTCATCCATTTGTTACGTCATTGAATAAAAATCAACATTAAATGTATAGAATTGAATAATACATTCAATCTTGTATCGATATAATAAAACATAGTAAACGCAATGCACAAAAAGGCCCTACGTTATGGTCATATTCGGACATATACATGCATAATTATGGATTAAACTCACCACAGTGTTGGAGCAGTACCTCAAATAGCTTTCAGAAATCATGATCACAAGATAGGACAATATTTCGCCGGTTGTTACAGTTTGCATTCATTATAGTATATAAATCGTTGTAAACAGATGAGTTAGGCGTCTTGAAGTGCATTTCGGCGGGAGGAAAAAGCGAGGTTTTAGCATTTTATCATTCAAGCGCCTTGACCGGTATATACCGGAATACGGCATTTGTGTGCGCTCCAACACATTTTTAGTTTCACTCCATAATCATACCTTCCTAGAGTATTATTCATTTATGCCCTTCTTTCCAAATCTTTAACTGTGATTAATATTCTTAGAGCAATAGCTCTGATGTTTCTATTAATCAAACATTATTTAAGGATATTTCAGAAATATTTTTTTCAAACAAAAGTTATAATAGGATTAACTTAAGACTCGAATCTGTTCCCGGAACCAACCAGTACAACGAATTTCAGAATTCTTTATCATGTGGCAAAATATATGATTGTATTATAATTTAATATGATCTGTCGTTATTTAAAAAAACACTTTCACACGTTAATTGCGATAACAGACGAGAGAAATGATTCGACTTGCTACTGTTATCATTATGCACACTCCCTTTAAATTTTCCTTAAAAACGCCAATTTGAATTTACAAATAACTCAATTATACATAAGCTTTGATAGTTTTTTTACGACAATTGTAATTTCAGTTTTAGATACATACATGGTAAGTTTTAATACACTCTAATTAAGTAACCACTAGTAAATTATGGTTCTAAATTGTAATTTTTCTTTGAAATTAGTGACATAACTAAAAAATGCACGTTCAGATTAAGAGAAAATGGTAAGTATGACGTTTTTTATAAAGAAAATACCCTCTTTTGAGTAACAAAGGGCCGTAACAAAAACGTTTAATGGCACTTCTATCAAATACAATACTAAGAAGGTTGGACAAACAGGTTCTAATATATGGAACAGAACAGAACGGAAAAACGGAGGCACAACGCTGATTTCATCGGCTGGTACACCTGGGTCCTTATCGATAAAAAACCCGTTTAAATAAGTCCAAGACTTAATAAGACTTTAATTGATCAATTTCCTGAGAAAAAAAATCAAAAATAAAACTGTGCGCGCTTTAAATAATCTCTATCGTGTAAAAGTCCATCTTTTGATATTCAGAAATAGAAAGTCATAGATAAGTGACAAAAGTTAGAACCTTTCTATGAAACGCAGTTGTCTTTTGGTTTAAAGACTGATTTCGGACTTTGGACCTTCTTTGAAACACAACCTAGAAATTTTGTTTACAAAAAAGCATTATATGACGTGTATTTCATATATAACGTTACCTATTTTAGTCATATAATTAGTTTATTCTAATTTATTCTAGTTCGATTTTGTTAAAAGACATAAGCTTATTGAAACACTCTAGAATCTGTTCCTGGAACCAACAAGTACTCAGCAATGAGTGTAAAGTTTCTTGCTCATGGAAACAATTAGGGGTCAACGTATCAATATTGGAACCGCGAGTGACATCATTGTCTGAAGACATCTTTTAAAGTTGACTTCAAATTTTCTAGTAGTTCCTTTAGAAATTCAACCTCTACAGATATCTGAGGGGCAAAGTCAGAGATGAAATATTTGAATTTTAGCATTTTTTATTCAACAAACATTGAGTATCTTATGTGACTGGAATATCAAAAGTTATATAAATAAATAAATAAGTGAAAAAAACCCAACAACAAAATATTATTATAAAATATTGCATATAGAAATGAGGTTATTGTAGACGAAAGGACCATTGCACAGCATAATCAAGAAGCATTTAAATGATAACAAAATTATTGATTTCTATTGTATAAAGATACACATTACAGTACTGACACACCCATTGATTAAGTATTCCCATATCAAAGCGTTAGCTTCTTTGTTTAGTTTTACGGCGCATCAACACAATTTAGGTCATATTTCGCCGAAACAGGAACGATGGTTTTGGTTTACCTCTGGTTTTACAAACTTAAAAGCAAAAACCAGGGGTCAAAATCACCTCACCTGCTGGAGATAAGAAAAGCATATACTCCAGTAAATTCGAACCAATTAGTCTGCACTGGTCGCGTGAATCAGTTACCGCCACCTGCCTTAAGGTTAAAACACTTTCGATTCCCCTACCTGGAGGCTGGAACCGATTAGTGCTATGACCATATGACTTTGTTTTGACCCTAGTTGAGTTCTAACCCACAATCATTGGACTGTCCCACAGGCGCCTAAACTAAGCAAACGTTTCTATTTATAATAAAGTTAATATTAACATGTAATGGTATCAAAATAGAACATTCTGTAATCCTACACAACAAAATATAATTAGCATGTATATATTATTGAAAAGGTCATGAACAACTACATGTATTTTAAAGAGTAAACTGTCTTATAAAACGAAACCTTACCGATGTGAAATAACAGTTGAAATTACGTAGGTTAAAATGTACATGCAAATATATACAGGGATAACAACATTGTATATCACATTCACAATAAAATACAATAAGTACCTACAATATTTAACGATAAGTCATTCTATTTCATATTACATTAACCGGTACAGAAGGGTTTACAATTAAACCAAAGTAAATTTCTATTCATATCTCAAAATTAACTAGTTGGAAAAACGTGAATAGTCAAAATATTTGAAATCATAGTTCATATAGATATTTAATTTAAATACATGATATGCATAGTCTAGAATTGAAAAATACTAAATGACCACGTGGTTTACTTTTCGTAAAAAATATATTTATTTTACCACATGTTTTACTTTTCGTCAATAAATTTGTAATACTGAAAAGAAGTAAAATACAGTGCAAGACATTTTCTGAAGAAGATATAAACTTCCTCTTTTTGATTTTTAACTTAACAAATTGTAACATTGTGAAAATATCACAGATATATTGTATACCAGCAGTTATAAGGTTTGGAAAGGTTTCTCATTTTTAGGTTACGTTTTTTAAATAATTTGAAATGAAGACATTTTCTTTGGAAGCACAAGCAATGAATAAATGCCCGTTCTGAAAGCAGTCTTGACATCACGAGTCCGCAAAAAAGAAGACCTGCAGACCGTCAAAAGTCGGTAGATCTGATGGTTATATAACGGCGTGTTATTCTTTCAAAAGATAAATATATACTCTGTTAAAACTAGTGGTATTCGATATAACGAGCATAGACTTGATTCGGTCAATATGTAGTTTTTCTCTGACCTGATAAAAATCACATCTACCAGAACTCAAATAACTTTTCTCAGGTCCGAAAAACTAAATATATACCTCGCTTAAGTCTCTATTTATGTAATATGTCAATGAAAAATGCGTATGCAATTGGGGACAATCTTAAAGTTCATTTTTTTTATATTCACAGAGTACTCCGCAGTTTTAAATGACCTTATAAACATCACAGAAAAGCGAAGGAAAACACTAACACTTTAGCAGTCATTCATCGAATTCCTGTAAGAATGTTCTGTTTTCCAAGATTTTAACAAACTTCGAATTTCAATGAAAGTCGTCTGTTTTAGCGTTTATTAAAACACCGTCAACGAAATCCCTCCATTTCCGTGTCCATGGTTACACATCTAATCACACACCGTCAATTTCATTTTCAATAGTTTTTACAGACGCTTGTAAATCTCCGACTTTTGAATCAATATCAATGGTAATGTCAAGGTCAGTTCGTCTGTATCGTTCCGGGAAAACAAACAATAATGGTAGAGCCAGTACCGCCGATGCCAGCAGAACTTCATTCATCCATGACTGACCTGAAAAATAGTCAATGGCATAACTACGTCAATATAATTAATTTGCAGAATAGATTAAAATGACACTATTTATTTGGGGGTAAATAGGTAGCTGTTTTGTATACCCATTTAATTGAACGTGGGTTGCATAAATCGAAAGTTTGGAAATAATGATTTAGAATTAAGTAGATTGACATACACATTAAAGCAAAATGTCAACTGTTTTATTTATGGCAACCGTTTATGTAAGTCTAAGACTTGGAACGAATAATGGAGTTGACATAAACCCACTGTATTAGGACAACATTAGATTCTGAAATAACTTAAATTAAACGAATATCATAAATCGGGGATTTTGAATAACTTGTGATCTTAACATATTAAGGATTTGACATGCAATCAAGAAATGACAAATTTAAGGCATAAAATATTTGATTTCATTGAAATAAATTGAATAAATTTCCCCTTCTTTTGAAACGGCACGAGTTTTAGAACGTTTAAATAGTGATTTTAGAGCAAACTAGATGCTTATCATTTAAATAAAGTAGCGTTGAATGTAAAATTATTCGTCATGAAAGTAACAAAATCTAAACAAAGTAGTATTTTGTCTTTCAACACAAAATATTGAATCAATATAATTGTACTGTACCAATTGTCAAAAGCAATAGAACAAAAGATGGTCAAGATAATTAGGCAATAAATAATCTTTTGGAAGCAATATCAATGAAAAGCTTTTGAAAAGTAAAAATAAAAGCATTTATGGTGCATAACAACCTTTAAAATCAGATAAATGTGTTCATGTCATGTGAACACTTTCCAGATTCACTGATGGAGACATTAGGTGCCCAATCTGTCTCACATGAAAGAATCAAAGTTGTCGAGATTCGAACAAATAGTTAACTTTAAAGGCACATTAGGCCTCAGAAATGATTTAATATTTTCTTTAATACAAAACGCAAACATATGTATAATAATGTTTAACTAATGGATATGAAGCATGTAAGATGCTTTTTACAAGAAGAAAGTAGCGCTGGATATAAATTTGAGGTAAAGGTGGCAAAATTAAAGAAAATAATATGGAATTTTGATTTCCATGTATAAAATAGTTAATCTCTTTATCTACACACCTGAACACTGCAAAAGACGCTGAGATAGTCCATCTTTATGACCATTGAGTAACTTTTAGAAACTGTATCAGAACACCAATAATGTAAAGGTTTTGAGGGACAAAATGTTCGCTTAATTGGCTTTTAATGAAGAACAATGAAATAGGCCTTTAATTAGTAAAACAACACTAAAATATGCAAATCTTACCAATATTTGGTATCAACATTACGAAGAGGAAACAAATTCCAATTATATTGTTTATCAGAGTGAGGAACCCTCCTGTGACACCCTCTGCTACAGGGTAACTAGCTTCACATGCTATCTCATAGAATAACGGTATTCCTCCATTGATCAGTATACCTATCAGAATACACGCCGCATACAACGACGCTGAAAAATAAATATAGATGGTAAGTTAACAAAGAGATATAAGACAGCAATGAAAATATCTACCTATTAAGAGTTTTGAGTGTAAGAAGCAACTACTTTAAAACAAGTACTTTAAATGAAGAATAACATATGAAAAGCATCTATTTAACAATTTTCAAAATAATTAAGTATATACAGAGAGTTCACAGACAAAATGTATTTGTAAGGGGTGTAAAGGTATTTATGGATGACACTGTATATGACCATGTGATGCAGCTGTCGTTGCAGTTAGTTCATGTAACATTTCCGTTGACAACAAAGTACATTTATATGGTAAACACTATACAAAAACACAATACAGCTTATGCAAACTCTGTATTGTAACTATAAGGCCTCATACCAAATAGTTTGGAACTTCAGTTCACGAATAAATTATCTATATCTAGGATCAAAGGCTACTTTCAAGTTTTTCCTGTCTGTAAATGCCTCTCCATATACCATAAATGAGATGTCTTAACACTTCACATGGTAAGAATTACTTAACTACTGTAAACTTAATAAATAGCTTCTTTTCATATCTGTTGAATGGCTTTGAAAACTAGAAATTTCCCCGAGTTGGTATCTTTAACAAACCTGGAAGAAATACCAACTTACTAATATTAAAAGGAATAAATTTCTCCCACAGTACGAAGAACCATGCCGAGGCTGCTACTGCACCGAGGAACAGTGTTATCAGAAACAATTTCATTCTTTTCATAAATATATCTGCAAACCTGCAAAATCGAATAGTAATTGCTCTTAAATATGTAAATTAATTTTATATAAGTATTTGCTTTTCTATATTTCAAACAGATAAAAAGAAAAACACATGTTTCTTTACACATATATATAATAGCCGCGGTATCAACGTAGAATAAAAGCCTGAGATCATTGGTAAAAAATAATTAAAATTATAATAATAATTTAAACATTATTCACTTAGACACAGTTATCAAATTTTAACAAATTTCACATATTATCAATCACCTACAGCAACAAAGGTAAGAGGAAAGACATAAACCCATACAAAGTAACATAACTCAATACTCAAGTATATATTCAAAAAAATCCTAGAATTTTTAAATAAAATATTGTCAAGTGTACATAAAATTATAAAGAGATAAAAGCAGCTAACAGGAAAGAATATAAATACCGTTATAAAATAGTAAATTTAATAACATTTTGCTTAAAAATGTATTGTAAAATACTTGCACATATTTATATCTTACTTTAACATAAATTTAATACAGTTTTGTTCAGTTTGATCATTTTGTAAATACTGCCGATATAAGTATATGATATGGTTTACCTTGCAATGACAAGCCCTGCTGTACACCCGGCCAACGTTTGCCAGAATCCCATATAACCAGCTGTATTTTGGGATATACCTAGAGGTTTCAAGTTCACATCCAGAACCGACTGCCACACCCCTAAGATTCCTGTAGGCAAGGCATATGCCAACACTATCAACCAAACTGACCCGTTACTAAAAATATATAAATAACTAGAGGATGCTTTTGTAAAAAAGCGCATGTCTCCCCCACTGCACTGTGACCTTGACCTTTGACCTACTGACCCCAAAAACAATAGGGATCATCTGCTCTATAAGACCAATCATCCTATGAAGTTTGAGGGCTGTAGGTCAAAAGGAACTCTAGTTATCATCCGGAAACAAGAAATTGACCAACGGTCACTGTGACCTTGACCTTTGACCTACTGACCCCAAAAACAATAGGGATCATCTGCTCTATAAGACCAATCATCCTATGAAGTTTGAGGGCTGTAGGTCAAAAGGAACTCTAGTTATCATCCGGAAACGAGAAATTGACCAACGGTCACTGTGACCTTGACCTTTGACCTACTGACCCCAAAAACAATAGGGATCATCTGCTCTATAAAACCAATCATCCTATGAAGTTTGAGGGCTGTAGGTCAAAAGGAACTCTAGTTATCATCCGGAAACGAGAAATTGACCAACGGTCACTGTGACCTTGACCTTTGAACTACTGACCCCACAAACAATAGGGATCATCAGCTCTATAAGACCAATCATCCTATGAAGTTTGAGGGTTGTAGGTCAAAAGGAACTCTAGTTATCATCCGGAAACGAGAAATTGACCAACGGTCACTGTGACCTTGACCTTTGAACTACTGACCCCAAAAACAATAGGGATCATCTGCTCAATAAGACCAATCATCCTATGAAGTTTGAGGTCTGTAGGTCTAAAGGAACTCTAGTTATCATCCGGAAACGAGAAATTGACCAACGGTCACTGTGACCTTGACCTTTGACCTACTGACCCCAAAAACAATAGGGATCATCAGCTCTATAAGACCAATCATCCTATGAAGTTTGAGGGCTGTAGGTCAAAAGGAACTCTAGTTATCGTCCGGAAACGAAGAATGGACGGACGGACGGACTGACGGACGGACTGACGGACGGACTGACGGACGGACGGACTGACGGACGGACAGGGCAAAAACAATATGTCTCCCCCCGAGGTGGGGGAGACATAAATATATGTAAATAAATAAACGTAATCAATGGTAGATCTGATGAAATGCAAGTGCACTGTAAATAGTTTACGCTATTTGAAGGCATAGTCATTTATAATTATACCAGGAGCTAATTTATCCGCAGCAATAACAAGTAAGGATGAAGCATTTGTAAGACATGGGAATAAGCTGTTCATCCTTAAAATTTTACAGCTGTAGGTTGATTAATACTTAAGTTATTAATAATGACCTTAACCTTTGACCTTGTGACCCCAAAATCAATAGGGGTCTTCAACCTTATATGGACAATTATCCTAAGAAGTTTGAATATTGTGGGCCAAATGGAACTTAAGTTATGCTCCGGAAACTGTTTTCAATTTTAAGGTAATAGTGATCTTGACCTTTGACCTTGTGACCCCAAAATCAATAGGGGTCTTCTACCCAATATGGACAATCATCCTATGAAGTCTGAATATAGTGGGCCAAATGAAACTTTAGTTATGCTCCGGAAACTGTTTTAATTTTAAGGTAATAGTGACCTTGACCTTTCACCTTGTGACCCAAAAATCAATAGGGGTCTTCTACCCAATATGGACAATCATCCTATGAAGTCTGAATATAGTGGGCCAAATGGAACTTAGGTTATGCTCCGGAAACTGTTTTTGGTTTTAAGGTAATTGTGACCTTGACCTTTAACCTAGTGACCCCAAAATCAATAGGGGTCTTTTGCCCAAAGTGGACAATCATCCTATGAAGTTTGAATATTGTGGGCCAAATGGAACTTAAGTTCTGCTTTGAAAACTGTTTTCAGTATCAAGGTAATAGTGACCTTGACCTTGTGACCCCAAAATCAATAGGGGTCTTCTACCCAATATGGACAATCATCCTATGAAGTTTGAACATTGTGGGCCAAATGGAACTTAAGTTATACTCCGGAAACCAAATTGCTAACGGACGGACAGACAGACGGACGCCAAGGGGTATAACACAATATGCCCTTTCGGGCATATAAACGGAGGTATAGAACATAACAAATAACAATGGTAAGTCTCCATGTAAAGAGGCCCTTGCAAGCATTTCATTCTCCGTCTTCAGTGTCACATGACTAAACATACATATACAATGTAGTTAAAATTGCTATATCCAGGAATTCTGGGTTCGTGCTTTACTCGGGCCAAAAATCATGTTTTCAAATATGACACCAGTACTGGTTAGATGCAGGAAGCGGACTGAGAAAGATAGTATAAGTTACAAGAACTTTTTCCGCGATTCAGCTTAAATAAATATGTTTAAATCATTATATACATCATCTATTATTATTTTCAAGCGTGATACATTTCCGAATTACAGCAACTGTCGAAAACGCGCACTTATCAAGGAAAGGTCACTGGCTTTATAACAGCTTCAACATTATGAACATACCACAGTAGCCGGGACAATCCTGTCATGTACTCTGTACGTTTAATCGCCGCTGTGGCACTGGGTGGTTTTGGTGGTCGAGCAGGGAAGTAGATCAGTACCAGAAGAAAGAACAGCACTCCTAAACCAGCTTCTGTAAGATAGGAAATAAACAAGAGCACTTTAGACAAACATAAGATAAACGTATCATAAAGATACAAGAGAAATGTGTTTTGTTACGATAAAAACGGACATACGATCGTTGATAAAAGGGGCACCAGATCCTTTAAATATTACAAACATGTATATAAGAAAACGGATGTCGTATTTCTGCATGTAATTAATAATCCAAAATCAAATGTTGTCAGAAAATGTCTATGAAAAAGTAATAATTTTATACACAATATACTAAAGGAACATTTATGAAAAGGCGTTACGAACGTTTTACATGTTTGTGTTGGCAAACTGGCGGAGAACGTTCGTGACAACTTAGTAACGTAGCCTGCCATTAAATTTAGTTTTGGGATAAAATAAATATAACTAACAAATACATTAAATGTAACTTTCAAAAACATGTGTAATCGTTAACTATTGTATACAATTTAATAAATGTTACTTACGGAAGTACAGATAATTTTTGATGTCCGTTATAAGATTTGTCTTGTTAATGAGCTCTGAAATGAAACCATGTTGTTAAAATCAATTTAAATAACGATACAGTGCAACCTCAATAGAACAACACCCTTAAAGAGACACACATTTTGGTTGTTGTTGTTGAAAGGTGTTGCTATACAGAGGTCATATCATTCCTGAAGTCCTACTTTTGGAAGAATGGACGCTGCTGTTGTTAACAGGTTTTTACAGGTGCCCGCACTGCAGGGGCTACACTGTATCTAAAATAAATCTAATTTTATCTTTTGGAGGACATGATTAAAATACAATCTCTGCAAAGCAGTAACCTTGGTGCCACAACAGGTTTTGGTTGTTATAGAGAGGTGTTACACTAAAGAGATTATATTGTTTTTGAAATCTTTCTTTGGGAAGGATTGATATACTGCTGTTGTATATAGGTTATTACTTTACAGAGGGCCGTCCTACAGAGGTCATACTGTATAATGACTGGCCTATACCACCAATGTAAAACAAGGACAAGCTGAAAACCTTTGCATCCTGACCACACTCCATGCAGTGGGCGGCTCATTGTATCTTTTTATTATTTGAAATTCGATTCCCCAAAATTCACGACAAGTCTACATGGTCTAATATTAAAATTCAGCATGGTAAGGGTGACATACATTATTTCGTGAATACTTTCATTTCATGTACTTTTTTAACCTGAATTTTGTTTGTTTAAGGCCTATCCATTTACAATATAGTGAGAAAACGTATAAAAACTTAATATAGCCAACAAATTGACTGTGTGATAGAAAGAGCATCAACACACAAGACTATCTGATTTGTATGAAGGGGCGTAGACAGACAGTGAGTGCGGTACTAATACCTGCACTCCAGTTAAGCACTTTGCAGGCATTTGTAATCTCCAAACTATGATACTATTCAATGCAATTTCCCATCGTACACATCAGATAACCTCGAACTTCGGTTCGATCCCCGGGAGATGCTTTGGTAGTTTAGCACGGAGGAAGGTAGTCTAGTACTGGTGTAACTCTCCAGGAACGATGGTTAGGAAACTACCCGCCTATATTACTGAAATACTGTTGAGAAAAGGCGTAAAATGAAACAAACAAACAAACTTCGATGTTCTTTCTATTAGATGTACAAACCTTTATGAGTATGATTACTGTAGGCGTATATATTGTTGAGCACGGGAACAACGTGGAATGTTCCCATTGAATGAACCATGCCTATTGAAGGTGATCTTATGGCTATATCCGTTATATTGTCATGTGTTGTAGAGTTTGTGGTTTTATATGCAGGACTTGAGACCATCTGAGGTCCTGAAACGGAAAATACATTCGTTATGACCATTGTTGCTATGTTGTTGCTTATAAAACATAATAATTGTTCGTTGATAAATCAAGATCACATCAATGTAAAACACGTATATTGCGCATTTCATTTTCACTTAAAATAATGGCAACCGCCAGGACTTTTCTTGCAACCTCACAATCTCTTTATGAATTTTTCCTATCATCTTGTGATTTGATATGGCAATTTCCAATGCTAAGAGCAAGGCATTAGAAAAAAGTACTGCAGTAAAAAAAAAATGGCGGGAAATGACAATTCTTGTACTTGGGTACCCCGACTTAGATTGTTACGGTAAATATTTAGTTTTAACCAAAGGGTCTTATGAAAACGTGTACCTTACCAATGATGAAAGACAATGAGACACCGAGGTAGTTAGCAAATGATACTATCGCTGTTGCCGTGGCTCTCTGATCCGGCGGAAACCATACCGACGACAAAGCTGCTGGCCCAGCAAACGGCACAGAGCCACCTATACCATTAAGTACTGCGCAAATATTTGCAAGCCTGTATTTGAAAACAATTTTATCATTTTCAATTGTCAAAATAGTTAAAATGTAACTCTGTAGATCTTATCTTTTCGAGATATATTACACAATAAAGTAAAATGATAAAATTCGATGACGTGATAAAAGATTTATATGTATAAAGTTCTTTGCAAAAGTATAACCGTTATCTTTAGCTAGTGTGAGTATTAATAATTCAATCAATGCAATAAAAATGAAAATTATTTTGTTAAATTGTTCCTTAAAGTTTACGCATGTATAGCAATTGCTATAGAAAATGTGTGAATTTTGTAACAAAATGCCCAATCTTAAGGGAAGAAATTCGCAAATTTAATTCTCCTACAACATAGTTTTATTCCTGGGCACTGTTTGCAAAGTGCTGCACGTGAGAATGTACATGTACCTACCAAGTGGCCGGAACCGGATGTAGAGTAATACATCTTATAGATGTTCCCGCCATCACTAGAAACGCACAAATCAATAGTGATATCCGGAGACCTGCAAATAAATTCAAAATAGTTTCTATCAATGAATGGGATCTTTTGTGATTTGGTTAATGACAATTTCAAGACAGTCGTTCTGTCATATGAGAAATGTCGGGATGGTATTACTGCATATAAAGTGAATAAGAAAGTTAAGTAAACAACATTTTTTATTTATATATTATCAGGCTTTCATTATTACAAAAATAAACCCTGACAGCATTTTGAATTTCAAACGAGGGAGCGAAATAGTTACTCAAATTATAATCAAATTGAGAAATATACTGTATATTCCCCGTATATTTCCTGCAGCGAAAAAAAATCTCACTTTACAGACGACAGTTTTTTACCATGCTAAAAAGTATTGTAATATAATTATAGTGTACACTTTCGGCATAAAATCAACTGTTAGAAGTCCATATTGCAATTTATAGCATTCCACCAACATGACCTTGTTTTATATAGTAGCACCCATTTATAAGATCATGGTGTAGATGTATACCCACCTTTTACGTCGACTAGGTAGCACATCGGAAGTACTGTGATCATAAAGGCAATGTTACCGTAGTTAGCCAACATGCCTATGTTACTGTCCTGCCAATCGAGCACGATTTCTGCAGACTCGGTGATAGGACCCCAAGTGTTCCATACCAATGCCTGCAAACGTAACACATATACATGTATAAGTTATTAATTAATACAATATAGCGGGTAGGCTTACCCCGAAGGGCAGCCATCATTTTATATGCAGATTTCATTTTTTTTTCTTGGGGGAGGACCCCAGACCCCCGTATGCAGCGGATAGTTTCGGTTATTTCAAACTTAAGTCGTCCTCCACCAATATCAATTTTGTGTGCACTGTTGTCGAATAATGTACTTGATTTGATAGGGGAATAGTGTGCAGTATGCAAAATGATTTTACAATGGATTTAGAGCATGTTGAAGACAGAAGCGCTGACGACCGAACAACCTCGAGTTTGAGGCTAAAGAGGTCTTAACCACCAAATTACCCATGCCGTGTTTATGAACAGGTAACTTTAATTACACAATACAATTTGAACTGATTGTGCGTTAACATGCATATGTGTAAAAATGCATATGTGCCACTACTTTATCATAAGAGTTAAGAAAACATATTACCTGACAGAAACTACCGAGACAGAAGACGATCAGAATGTACCATCTTCTCGAATATACAGCAGTGTCGGAAACTGGTTGACCGTCTTTAGATTGTTGTCCGAGGATAGGTAACCTCTCAGCCACTTCTTCCGGTAAACTCATTTTGTCGAACGTCTGTAATAACACAAAAAATATAACCCAGTATAATATACAACTGTCAGATATAGGTAAATACTGTATGAGCTTACTATGTAATTTGTTAAAACCGTAAATTTTGGCATGACTAAAATACAAAAAAAAAAGAGAATGTGACAGTCAGAACATTTTTTTTTATTTATTTATTTATAATTTTTTTCTTTTGTTTTGAGATTATGAAATTAAGTATTCACGTAATCGACGTTAACCATTTCTCGATATAAAAATCTATGTTGACAAACATAATTACATTTTAATAAGACAAATAGAAATACAAAAATGTTGTTTTTTCCTCTCATGAACATCTCTAATGACACAAAGGTATTTTGGGTCTGGTTATAAAAACTTAAAATCGTGTATACCAGGTTATATATTAACAATAAGAATTCGTTATATATTTTTATTCGTATTTAAATATTTAAACACTATATTGACCTATAAAGACTATCTGTATAGTATGGTATTTATAATAATATTGCATTTAATTCAAATTACACCAACCCCTTGCATATAATTAAGCAATCAATCACCTGCATTTTTTAAACTAATATACATGTATAAAATTATATATATATAGATCTAGATCTACCTAATCAATCGATTATGTTGACCGATAATTGTAAACACTGTACATGTATATATACACATTGTGTAAACAACTCGTCAACTATATCCTAATTTTAGCTTACATGTATCTCATGTATATCCCAGTTATAGGGACCCTACTTTACACTGTTACTGTACATAGGTATATATCTCTAGATAAAACTTTTTACACATATTTACCTTAGACATTATTTCTGTATCACAGACTACGCATAAAATTTAAAAAAGGTCGAATAAATTAATCCTTAAATTAGCATATCCTAGTGCGTACATAATTAAAATCTCACACGACAAGTTGCTATCAAGATAATCTTGATTAAAACTTATTTAACTGCGTATCATGTGATGATGAATAATTACAATAGCTAATCTGCTAATCGAGCAAACCGAAAGTAAAAATAAGCAGATACTGAAGTCATATTTACCCTTCACTTCCGCCTTTAATTATAAATATTTAATTGAACTCGGATTTCCATGATAAAAATGCGGTACTTCCCCCATTACACACCGTCCTCTATGCATTTATCTCCCAAAAACAAGTGATTTGTGACGCATTTGTTCAATTTTAACGTAATTAAAAATGTACACGGCCATTTTCCTTTTCGCAATCGATGCATGACAAAGGGAAATAGGCCATGACGACCGTTAGAATAAGTAAACACGAGTTATCGCGTAAGGTCAAATTTGGCGCTAAAAGCTAACACGACGTCAAAATAAGTAAACGTCACATCCGTTGTATTGAGGGGCCCGTCAGTTGCTGGAGACGTTGTTTGGTCCAGGGTGGACATGTAAGTAGATCTATGCTTTTGCGGATTAAATTACTTTAAAATGAAATGATAATCAATTGCCACATAAGAAATGCTATCTCTTCAATCTTTAAAACAATTCGACATGCAATTATTTGAGTTTTTTAGCTGTTATAGACGAATTTTTTTGTCAAATCTGAATCAGATGAAAAGATGAAATGTGTAATATTATAGATATTGACAAGGTAGTTTTCAAGTTTGTTACAGAAGAAGTTCAAAATATTAATATTACATATTTTGAACAGATACTATTTATCAAGCGATAACATAAAAAAAATCAACCTTTCTCAAATATATTTGCCCACAAGACACACCTTGCTGACAGGAACTTCAGGTATTCAAAGTTGATACAGATATCAATTTATATCAAGGCGGCTTGAAAATGAATTCCAAAGATATATTTACTTTTTTTCTCACTTTTTTCAGCATGTTTCGCAACCAACAAGTAACAGAGTTTGACATTGTCCGAGTGAAACCGCACGTAGATCTTGTGCTTTTTGACAATGTTATTAGCTGTTACCCCTGCGATAAAGACATAACCGTCAATTACGTCCTAGGACAGGATGTCTCGTAAGTTTGCTTATAAGATTTGAAAATAAACCTTTAAAAGTTATTTTAATCATACTAGAGTCCGCATTCTGTAATAAGAAGTTCTCGTACATCATGGTCGAGCCACAAGTAAGATTTCGAATCAGCAGAAACCTTTAACATAAGGCATTTTTTTCATTATGTATGTCGAATAGAAAATATATTTAACACAGAATTATTCTAGTATATGAAACTCCAGATAAAGAATTTATTCTATATCAAACTGTCATCAATTGATTCACGCCACCAGACATGTTATTATAATAAATAAAGGGTTCTGATTTAATCAGTAAAAACAAACTAATATATTAAGATCTTATCACATAGGCCACGACGCAGGAATAAAATATATTAAATAAGAGACTTCAAGATTCAATACTGAATTTATTGAACGAGTCGAATAAAATTAGGCGAAAATAATAATATACTATTCAACAATTAAATTCAAATATTATATTGATCACATACCCCAAAATAAAGGGAAAAACATTTTTCTTTGCTCGTCAATGAATAATGACCGTTCTTATTCTAGAAATGTGATAAATAGAATATTATATATGTGTAGATTCAATACTAAATTTGTTGAACTAGTTTGAAAGAAAAAACGAACAACAATATTATGCTCGTCACAGACTCGCATACTATTTTTTTATTCAACTTTTCAATAAATTTAATATCAAATCTATCCTCTATCTTTTTCACTGATCATATCAAAATACTTTATTTATTAGAATAACATGTCTAATGGCGTAAATGTATCACTCACGTTTCTTTCCTTTGTTGTCACAATTATCTCGTCATGAAAACACGCATTGTCTACAGAAGTATTTTAGTTAAAGACCCATTTAGACCCTGAAATCACCTCATTTTCATTCCTCTTGGTATCTTGTTACAGTTTCCAAAAAGCTACTCGTTGGTCTTACGGATATATACGTATTTCAAAAGATTTTCTGGCATGAGTAAAACAATTCTAAATATCATTTCTAAAAAACGCATGTTTGCAATAGGCATCACTGTCATGTTTGTGCGATGTGAGTGAAAAAATGTAAATTTGTCAATATATATTTGATTGTGCTTATACCAGTCAAAGAAACAGATGTTATATACATGTACATGTATATATTCTTTTTATAAGTCTTAACGTTAAAGAGAGTCCACTGATTTTTTTTTAGATGACGGGACTGGAAATAAATTTTCGAGATTTATGTTCTATTTGATGAAGGTCTAGAGCAAAAACTTGCGTGCACAATTTCAGAACATTTGCCCTCTCCGATTTTCCAAAATAATCATTCTGATTGTGTAAAAAATGACTGAAAATTGAAAAGTGTCGCTCATATCAGGCTAAGATTTGCGCAAAAATACGTTTTTCAAGTTATTTCAGAATATATTTTAATTATCTTTCGCTAATATGTTCTGTTTAAGTCCCCCAGTCTGTCTATGTAAGAAAATCATATTTTATGATTTTAGGCTTTTAAACATAAGTAAAGTTCTTTTAACGCATCTTAAGTTGCTTGATGTTTTAATTCTTTCAGACCCTCGTCTTGGGACTGGGTCGGAATATTCCGAATAGATTGGCGGTATCTTGGTGATTACTTGTCGTACCAATGGGCACAGATTCAAGGCCAGGACTGCAATGCACCGAGACGCCGGGCAATAGTCTTCTCTGCCAATTATCATCAGGTAACCGTAATAATGACTTACAAATGATCTTAGTACAAAATATACACTGAAAATATTATTTTGATTGACATAATTATGCTCGCATATAAAACTTATTATATAGACGTTTAATGAAAAGGGGTCAATGTGGACCGCTCCTGAAAATTGAGATGTGTTTTTGAGGTTTTAGAGGATAGGGTAACTGATTCAGAAATAACTTCATTTAACCAGTTCCTTACCGTATAATGGGTAAGAGGCCAATAGAAAGGTCGGGTTTTTTTCATTAAGTTATTCTTATACCCGAGAGTTTGAATGTAATTTTAGTCGGGGTGGCGGGGGATCAAACTCTTGATCATGATCAGCTAGTATGACAATTGGACCGCTGCGTCCCTTATTTATCTTATAGAAATATTGACAAAGGCAAAAGTCGAATAAAACTGTCCATATGTTCGTTTCATGCTTGCCGTATTATCTTCCGGTATTATTAAACGGGAAGGTTTGGGGATGTATTTATTTATCCTAATTAATAGATTTAAGTTTGATATTATTGTCAAAAATGTTGGAGTTTTGTATGAGGCTGAAAAAAAGTATTGAAAATTATAGACTTCTTAACTTTTCTCATGACATTGTTTTGGTTGAAACAGTATTATTATATCTCTTATAAGTATACAAACATTAGTCAGATGGGTCCAGATATGATACAGGCATGATAAGGCCTTCTCAGTTAATAGTCTTATGTCCGATGGTATTTTATACTCAGCTGTTTCAGATCTTGACTGATGTATTTGATTATATTTTCATTACTCAAAGATCCCTCCAAGTGACCAAGACTTGTATCAGTTCCTTTACGTTTCACGTGGAAATCACGTAGTTGGTGTCAGCGCATCTTTTAAAATTACCGACCCGGAGGTACTTTCAGACTTCTGTATTGCTGCCCTTTACGAGCAACCGTATATCAACGTGGTGTCTAAGAAACAACGGACACGAAAAGGTATTTCTATACAATTAACATTTATATTTTACTAAACCAGTCTTCTTACTTAAAGATTAAATCCAACGATAGATACACGTTTTTTATAACATATACTTACTTTGTTCAGTTTTCGTTTTCAACAGCTCCTTTTGATAAAGATACTAGAATGTGATAGCAATACTCAAATGTGTATAACTCCTCTTGTGCATAGCTGGGGCTTGGCTTTAAGGATCGAGGCATCAGAATGAAGTGCAGTCACCGTTTGTCCTTGCGTGATCGTAACAGGCGAGGAAATGGGTTTGAATCACTGGAGTTTATGCATCTCTTAGCTCCAGCAGATGAGATGGTTTTGACCTTAAGTTTGTAACACCCGAGGTTAGCCAAAATCATGATTCCTGTTTCGGCGCCATATGACCTAAACTGTGATTGTGCGCCGATAAACCAAACACACAAATAAACTAGTGTGTATAACAAAAGAGAGAGTATATTTTTTAGCAAAAATAATAAATAGTTATTATATACCTTAGTTCATGAATCTCCTGTGCTGAAGTACGAGTTTTGATATTGTCTATAGTGAAATGCATAATGCATAAAACACAATAAGTCATACGTCTGGCAATTCTCAACCAATTACATATTTTTGCATATTTATTTCTTTCAACAGCACGAGTCCCTATCAGTGATACCTTTGAAATTATAAATGAGTTACCATGCCCATCTATACCAAAACGACGTGCAAAAACGAAACAAAAGGTTATTGCAGTATATCGTGACCCGGAAACGCTTGTCAACATAGGAAATTTCGGTATTTTATTTCAATTTCATAACATGTATATATGAAATATTATTTAAAAATGGTAGTGCCTTTAGAGTAGATAATTGATAAATTAAATTGAAACAAATATCTATGCTTACAAAATATGTCTTCGCCACAAGCAAATCCAAATACATACTCATCTATTAGCTTTTTAAATATTGTATTTTGACTAAAACCATGACGTTGCTTCTAAAATAATGTTTCCAGATTTATCACAGAAGTTCAGAATCCCCAACGTCCTTCCAGTGGTACAAGAATACAATCAGACCAGCCACGTTCCGTATAATCGTGTCAAAGAACTGAAAATTTTCGACATACGATGGGGACAGCAGCAAACACCTTCAACTTCCGGTTCAAACGAATTTCCCATAGCACTTAAATATCCGGTGTACGAAAAGCTCAAGGCTGGTCCGCAAGCGTTTCTCCTCTCGTTGCAGGAAACCGGAAATGACTGTTCCAGTTGTCTAGTCGCTAAGACGCTTGTTCAAGATCTTGTTGACAAAGAGTTCCAGCACGAAGAGAAATTACGTAACATGAAAGTTATGATGGACGCTGTGACTATGTTAAACATACAATCAAAGGTATTAAACTCCGGTCATTGTCAGTTCAATAATAATATTAAAATTTTGTTTTAAGTGCTTGTCTACCAATCTTAAAATTTTCATAAAATTGATAATACATTAAAACTTTACACATATAGATATAAACATGTTTATTCTCATTGTACTATATATATAAAATATAACCAACTTCGTTTGTTATAAAGGCAATATCAACCGATATGTAAAGATTCAGATATTAACCTCAATATAAAGTACGAAATGCATGGCACATTACAATACTTTTAGGACCGCGATCAATTTGGTATATCTTCATATGCAAAGGTGTCGACAAACAAACATATTTGTCTATATGTAGAACAAAGATCAAATCAATTTATGTCTTATCATTGGCTAGGGGTTGTTAGACTTTTGAAAATGTTGTCACTAAAGAACTTTTGGTTTCCAATATAAATTAGCATTTTGTCGAGGATTAAACGCAACGTTATGACTACTGAAAGGGGCGTCCGTGGCCGTGTCCGTGGTTAAGGTCGTTGACTTCAAATCACTTGCCCCTCACCGCTGTGGGTTCGAATCCCGACAGGGACTTTGGATTCTTTTATGTGAGGAAGCTAACCAGCTAGCTTACGGAACGTCAGTGGTTCTACTCAGGTGCCCGTTCGTGCCTGAAAAAATGCATGGAGGGGCACCTGAGGTCTTCCTCCTCCAGTAAAGCTGGAACGTCGCCAAATGACCTATACTGTGTCGGTGTGACGTAAAACCCAAGTAATAAAAAAAATGACTACTGAAATATTCAATATCGTCTCAGTAAAAGATACATTTTTAATCTATATTATTACACTATGATATACAATATTGAAATAGATATCACGAACACTTATATATCATTCATAGCAGAACGAGCAGGCTAGATGTGTTGGGTTATTAGATTTGGCTCTAAGTCAAGTTCAAGAGGACAACAAAACCTTGCAAAAACGTGTAGATGATCTAGAGGCACTGTTGTTCGAGGCCAGTTCACAACTCCAGGAAAAACTACAAACCGAAAGTGCTGTACCAAAAGTTTCTGATGATGACTATGGTACATGGATGGTCAGATATCCGAAAAGAATAGGTATGTCAAAGTCTATACATGTACCAAGTAACTGTGGAGTTCAGTGAATGCAACAAAAAGGCCGACTATTCGATTCCAATTTTTCATAGATCACAATATTTTGTATTCTTAAAGAGCATTTTATCTCTGTACACTATTCTCTTAAAACAGTCCAGACAGAGCATCGGACAATTGATCTCGTACATTTAGTCTATAATGGTCATTTGTGGTTCAATCCCGGACAAGGCGTATTTTCTATACATGGCAACTGATTTCGTACATTGAGTGTAATGGTCATTTGTTTCCCATCCCCGCTGATTCAGAAATCATTTTGACTCATAAGTCGGTCATTTGCGGAGAAATTTGGACATACTGGTTAGTTATCCAGAAAAGTTAAGTAGATTGACCTCCGAGATATGATCAATAATGTTTTCAACTCTGCGGGAAAAAAACGGTAGAAAAAAAAGAAAAAGAAAAACCAAGGATCTTAAAATGGTATTTCATTACTTTATAAGGCTAACTAGTTTTTATTATATTTCTTTTCTATTCGGACGCATAATTACAGCACGTATAAAGAAGGTGGTCGGTCGACAAAGTAGAACATTGCAGATGCTGCGTCAGTGTAACGAGACCAAACAGAGACAAGTAAACAAGCTCCAGAACGAGAACATCCGGCTTAGAAGGCTCGTACAGGTAACACACTTAAAGTCAGAGGTTCAAGCTCCGTTGCTAGGTTTTAAATAAAATAAAATTTAGTTAAATGGAATGAGCCTATATTAATTAGTAAATTATTCAACGAGTTGAATAAAAATATAATATGCTCGTTTAACCATGAACCATAATCTAACTGATAAGCTTTTTGCCACCAGTATAAAAACAGGCCAGCCTACACTTCAAATACAACCTGACCGCTTTATACTTTTTAAGGCTCAATTGTTTTTGTATTTTGTTGCACAATTACTCTAGAATTATTTTGAATTGACTCTTTTATCGAAGCAGTGCAAATTTATCACGTGAAGTGATATCATGGCATCTAATTTACACAGTTTGATTCGCTTATACGGGAGAGACTGGTATAACCGATTATTGATGAATTATAAGATATGCTTACGATGGGTATCCTAAATGGAAGGAAAAGTTCTTGCCATATTAGATCGATTATATAGAGGATATGAACTTTTGGTGTTCACAAGGTGAAATATATTTCGATCTTACACTACACTAAACAAATTTCCTTTTTTTTATATGCAAAGAAACGTATTAAAAAGACATTTAACCTAATACTAAATGAAAAGCGCACCAAATAATGATACAACGTGAAGTCATTTACGACGTCACGTCATTAAGTTGATTTCCAGTATTGTGCACGCTGGAATTTTACTGAAACAACGTTAGGGGCTTAATTCAAAACAGTGAAATTATCAAATTGATAATTTCACTGTTTTTAAACAGTGAAATTATCAGTTTTATATCACTGATATATTTCTAATACCTTTTGGTGCTCACTCGGTGAAATATGTAAAGGATATTTGTTTGTTTTGCATGTAAGATTGAAATATAATTTCACTGAGTGAACACCAGATGCAATATTTTCACGAGTGGCGTAGCCACGAGTGAAAAGATAATAGCTGGTGTTCACGAATGAAAATCATTTCAATCTTATATGTAAAACAAATAAATTTTCTTTTTATTTCATGCGTATTATGTGATTTTAAGTATTTTTTACTGATTTTGCCGCGTAACGTCGCGCATTCTCCTTTGTGACGTCATCACATCATGACGTCACGTCAACAATTTTGAAATATAGTTCTGTTAAATTTCTCTAATTTTGTTACATTTTTAACATAATGTATGGTGACATCCACTTTCTTTTCCTAAAGAAGCAAAATTTATGCATGACGGCATTTATTTCTGCCTGTTATTCCATTCAGTTATGATTTTCTTTTCATCCGCATTCAGATATAGTCCGGCTACAGAGAAATTTATATTTTATAAATTTCACTAGTGGTTTATCAGAATATAATCATCTGATATATTACAATAAAACACTGGAAAGCATGAAATATATTCCGATCTTACACTGAACTAAACAAATATCCTCTATATAATAAACAGAAAATTCAAGTTTTTTTCTATAAATACAGGATTTCTGTTCATCTTGTGGTATGAACATTATCATATTTCACTCGTGGCTACCGCCACATGTTTTTTTGATTACAGTCTTCATTTGAGACAAGCGACAAGTTCCGAGGTCTAGCGGAGGAGCTGAACCAGCGAATAAAGAGTGTGCTAGCAGAGAGATCTAAGGACCACACTAATGAATGGCGACAGTTCGTGCGCAACGTGCAAGTACGTACCCAACTAATGATAAATAAGATTAAAAAACTTCTTGATTTTACAAGAAATTATCGCAAAAACTTCAAATAATGCATTTGCATTACATACAATTTTGATTTTTCTTGACATTCATTTGGCATAATTATTTTATTTAAATCGGCGTCTTTGGAACATGTTCTGTATTCATCATGGTTGACATTTTCATTGATGGACCATTGACAAATTATGATACCGAGCATATATTTCTTTTGTCTTATGTACAGACTATGTTGTGTAAAAGACTATTAAGAAAAAAATGATATAGAAGAAGAAGAAAATTAGCTATAATGATCTGGACAGATTATATTGACCCACTAAGAACGGTTTTTACATAACGAAACCGTTTATATAACGCTCGGGTTATATTAGCTTATAACCGTTTATAAGACCATATAATCTGTCAACAATATTTTAACGAATTGATAATTTTTTTTATATCACCCGAGCCGTTAGGCGAGGGTGATATTTTATTTTGGCAGGTAATATATCCACATATATCACTCCAAAACCAAAATAATAATTTTATTACCCTTCCCCTGTCGAGTTTAGACGATTTTTTAACAAATCATTGCTGTTTCAAATGAAACGTCGAAATAAGATTCCCTAAAGGGTACCCCTTCATCACAACATGACGTATTTTTTCCTGTACCTAACGAATGTAAACAAGAGAAAAGGAGTAGTCTATTGAACGCACTTTTCTGTAATTAATATCAAGCTTTCACAAGGTCATATTTGTTTTCAATACTGATGAGAATATGCATCATTACTCTACTTTGGTAAATATTTATCATTTGACAGTTAAAAAGTGCTTGTAAATCGGAATTTACACCGCGTAAAATCGAACCGTACGCGCATCACCTCAGCGCATGTTGTTTACAACGTGGGGTACCCAACAGGGAAATTTAGTGTGTATATTACCCGTCTGGCTCGGTAATATCAATTTCTTTCGGGTGATCAATATCCAATCAAAAAGGCGGAAAAAATCTGGAAGGGTAATAAACATGTATCAGGCCTCGACATTAGCGGTGGTCCGTTGGTCCGAGACCACCTGAATTTTTCAAGGACCACCTAGTTTTAAAAGTCACTGGTCCGTCAGACCACTTGAATTTTCTGGTTGCTGCAAGGCTCATTTGGGAGAATGGCGATTTGGTCAAAAACATGTTATATTCATTTTGTTTAAAATCATTTGTCCGATGTACATGTTTATGGTTCATAAATATACAAAATACATTTATATCTGATTAGCTTAAGACGTTCTTCATAACTTTTATTTTAATCGCTAATAATTTGTTTATGCAAGTTAAACGAGTTAAGAATTTGTGATATTAATTTTGGTACAAAATTCATTCAAATGACGCCAGTATTATGCATCGTCGGATACCCACGGCGAACCATTGACATTTATGTTATGTTACATTTTTATCAACCGTGGGTGTCCGACGATGGTATTTATGATATTGTATGGGATACCGAATAAACTTAAAATTTAATATACTTGACTTGAATAAAAAATGGCAGCAAACGAAAAGAACTGAAAAAATACATGTAGTAATTCTTGGCTTCTTTTCTTTATTTTAACTGTTTAACGATAAGAGATCTATTTCTTCCAGAGTTAAAATTACTTTAAAAGGTCAAAAATACTCAATGTTAAAAATAAATATTAACCAACAAGCAACAGGGATGTTCAAATTCTGTTCCCATGATAAATCAGTGAGATAAATAAACTTAACTATAGTTATACATGTACATTTAACATTGTTATTATCTTTTTATCCTTAAAATAGACATTTCCTTGTTTTCAAAGAAGAGAATAAGATAATTTATTAGTTTTATTAAAAACAAAAAGATACATGTAATTATCATGAGTATAAGATGTACCACGTATCAGCAATTCATATTTGAATAACAGTAAGAAAATAACAGACACAAATGGTTTCACTATTCCCTTGAGTTTAGGGAGAAATCATTTCAATATAAAAGTAAACATAAATATGAGTCCTGTTGTTTATTGACAATGAGATAAAAAAAACAACAAATAACTTAATTCACGATAGAATACCTACTAACTTGCTCTCCTTAATTTCTGATTAGATAAAAATATATATCTAAAATATCTGTTTTATTTAAAGTTAATAATAGATCTACATCTTTGTCATGAAAGCATATATTTTTTCTAAATTTGCAGTAAAATGATATAATAATAAAAATTGACCACCTGACTTCTGGAAGGACCACCTTAATTTCAAATCCAGTGGTCCGGCTTACCACCTGCTAAAAAAGTTAGTGTCGAGGTCTGTGTATGTAAAGGTTATATAAACGTCACGATTATATAAAGACAATGAAAATGGACGTAACAAACGTGCAGTATTATAATACATATCATACATGTATATGATTGGTCAACTGAAAAGAGTCACGCACAAAAATAAAAAAAGCTATTAAAACGTGTTTTATTCACGACCTTATTTTTGTGTTTATCATTATTTTTCATTTACATTCCAATCAATCCAAGATATTTTTCTTAATTTATGATTACGCTATGCTTACAGGAAACTACCACCCAAACCCTCGATGAAAAGAAAGAGAACCGAGGTACATCCCCGAAAAGCACGAGCTCAACCAGTTGCGCCAGCGGGCTGGAGACCAGTAGTGGGGCTCAAACACCAGTGAAACATCGACTTAGGAACAAGCAGATAACTAGAGTACTCCGCTCCGAGAAACATCAGCGACAAAAGCTACATAAGGACATTAACCAGGAAGAACAGTGCCCGACCTGTGGCCTTAAATTCTCCAAGAAGACCGACCGTCGGGTCATCGAAGAGCATATTGTATTTCACACCTATCATGATAAGAAGAACTGCTAAGAGGATCAGTCACCGCTTCCGATAAGAATTATTGTTACAGTCAATATGTCAGTGACGGACGGACAATTAGCAAATGTAAAGTCAAGTACAGTGCCGATATACACACCGAAGCCAACTGTTATCTTAAAGAAATAGTTACAATATCAATAACAATAATCCCCGCATATTTAATGTTTTATTTGTTTTTATCTTACAGAATTAGAAACAATATTTATAACTGATCTCCAAACTCTTTGACCATGATTTACAGTTGAAGGGTCAATACGCACAGTTTGCAGCTTCACTTCTGAAAACTTTGTTTATTTCCCAAACATTATTTGACATATCTTAACACGTATTTTTGTATCATGCTGTCTTTGTTATATGCCGACATTATACTGTTTCTTCAAATATTTTTTATTTTTTTATTTAGACTCCTGACTTCCTTAGTGCTATTATTTTGCTAAAATCTTTACATTGTTTCTTAATGACTTTATGTGTTTACGTTGTTTTAATTTACACTCTCTATCAATAAACTAGTAGAAAACGTAACATGAATGTTTCTTATTCTTAGTTATTTTATAATCATTCAAATTTTCCCATACTCCGTCTTTCATTTTTCATTATGGAGGCGATTCATTAATGGTGAAAATTTCAAAATGAGTTCTATGTTTCTTGTTGCTAACTTTCCTCACTGAGTGTAACAATCCCCATTTGTATATTTTTTAGAGCTTTTACTATTTCAAAACGTTATCTTACAATCAAATACATCATTGACCATTATGTTTTGCTCAGCAGAAGTAAAGATTTAGAAAATTGAGATAGAGAAAAACGGATTCCATAAAGAACGCTCAAAACGATTTAAATATTGCTGGCTTGGTTTAATTCAGCCTGTTTATTGAAAGTGCAAGTAACCGGCCATGCCCCATATAGCACCGGCTTCAGCAGAATTCAACATTCAAACATAAAAGTTGTGAAATTTGTAATTTTGAAACATTTGCAGATTGATTGTATAGAGGATATTTGTTTAGTTCAGTGTAAGATCGGAATATATTTCACCGAGTGAGCACCAAAAGGTATATTTCACGAGTTGCGCAGCCAGGAGTGAAATATGAACTTTTGTTGTTCACAAGGTGAAAAATATTTCGATCTTACACTAAACTAAACAAATTTTCTTTTTATTTTATGCAAAGAAACGTTTTAAAAAGACATTTTACCTAATATTTACTGAATGAGAAGCGCGCCACGAACCTGTCATTTTCGTAACTTTAGGTGAATATTATTAAACAATTATTCATGATCAAATGGCGAGTTATTGTGTGTTATTTAAGGTAACATCTACATTCTTAAACCAGCATAGACTTACAGGCAAATAACCTGCAATAATGAGGATAGACGGTGGCGACAAGGAAACACTAAGGGTGTAAATTCTAACTGAGAACGGCCGAATACTGAATGAGAAGCGCGCCAAATAATAATACAACGTGACGTCATTTACGACGTCACGTCATTAAGTTGGTTCCCAGTACTGTGCACGCTGGTATTTCACTGAAACAACGTAAGGGGCTTAAATTCAAAACAGTGAAATTATCAAATTGATAATTTCACTGTTTAAAACAGTGAAATTCCCAGTTTATATCACTAATATATTTCTATAAACCACCGAAGAGCATGTAATAAATAGAGGATATTTGTTTTTTTTGCCTGTAAGATTGAAATTTATTATATACTTATAGATGAAATATTGAGATATATTGATGAAATAAAATGCTTATTTTCATTTTCCGTATTTTCACTGTAAAAATTTATTTTTCACTGCGGTGAAACATATTTTCCGTATTTTCACTGGTGTCTTGACGGACTACTTTCTTTTAAATTCTGCCAGTACACAACATTTAAGGGAAAGTCTTTCAAATTGTAATGTCCAAAGAGAGGAAAATATTTATAATAAACAGAAAATTCAAGTTTTTTCTGTAAACACATGATTTATTTTCATCTTGTGGCATGAAAATTAACATAATTTACTCGTGGCTACCGCCACTCATGAAATATTTATTTTCATACCACTCGATGAAAATAAATCATGTATTTACAGAAAAAACTTGAATATCCTCTATATATTTCACTAAGTGAACACGAGATGTAATATTTTTACGAGTGGCGTAGCCACGAGTGAAAATAGAATAGCTGGTGTTCACGAATGAAATATATTTCAACCTTATATGAAAAACAATTTTTTTTTATTTAATGCTTTTTAAGTTATTTTAAGTATTTTTTTACCGATTTTGCTTCGTAACGTCGTGCATCCTCCTTTATGACGTCATAACTCCAGACGTCACATCATCAATTTTTTAAATATAGTTCTGTTAAATCTCTCTAATTTTGATGTCCGTGAAGTTGGCAGCCTAACAGCCTGGCAGCCTGAAGTTGGTAGCCTAGCAGCCTGGCAGCCTAACAGCCTGAAGTTGATAGCCTAGCAGCATAAAGAAAGCTAAGAATAGTACGAACATGAAAACGGTCAGAAATACATCAGTAGCACTTCCTTAGACGCCTTTTTCAATATCGTGATCTTTATTTTTTAAGATGTTGAACTTTATCTTAACATAATTTTTTTCATTCTGACGCTTCGAAATTTGCGAAGTTAGCAGCCTAAAGAAAACTAAGGATAGTACACACATGAAAACCTTCGGAAATGAATCGGTAGCACATACTTAGACCATTCTATGTCTTATTTCAATTTATCACACACCCGTGCCGATTTTGCGACTCCGTAAATATGGTATTGCACGGCCGTGCATATATTTTGACGTGACGTCATTAGCGTTATTCAAACATAGTGTAAAGACGCGCTAAATGTTAGCGTTATACTATAGAAGCGTCAATGAAAAATGACTCTTATTTTACCTTAAACGGTCTTTATTTTGGGTATGTGATAAATAGAATATTAAATTCGTGTAACTTCATTACTGAATTTATTGCACTCGTTGAATAAAATAATATTATGCTCGCCAGAGGCTCGCATAATATAATTTTATTCAACTCGTGCAATAAATTCAGTATTGAACTTACACTCATTCAATATCCTCTATATATCGTGATCTTTATTTTTTTAAATATTGAACTTTTTTTTTCATTCTGACGTTTCGAAATTGTGAAGTTAGCAGCCTAGCAGCCTAAAGAAAACTAAGGATAGTACAAACATGAAAACCGTCGGAAATGAATCGGTTGCACAAAATTAGACCATTCCAAGGCTTATTTCAATATCGTGATCTTTATTTTTTAAAATATTGAACGGTATATATACTGCAGCACAGATTCTAATGTGAACGAGGCCTGCATCAGTGAAGTCTCAAATGTATTTGCATACGTCGAATATCATTACAAAATTACTCAAGGGGTGGGGAAATAAAATCACGTGTACCGAAACAATTAAGTCGGTGACCCCCTATTTTTTTTAGTCATTTAGACTGAGTATACATTTTAAAGGACGTTTAAAAAACAAAAAGAATCAAAAATTTATTTCAGGAATTTTTTAATAAGCCGCTTTAAAGCCGAAAAATGCGAATAAACTAAACATCAAATTTTACACAAATATAACATATCTGATTCAATGTACGGGGCAATTTTTTACAGCCTCCACACAACACAAACAACGCTGATGTGGCGATAAAATAGAGAAATTGCGAATCCCTAAAAAAAAGTCCAAAACGACAAAATTGAAAATGTTAACTATCGCACTTATTAATTTTACTTGAATGACTGTAAAAAAATAACAGACGAAACAGATGAATATAATTCCCCAAAATAAAAATTAATGTTATTATTATATACATGTATATTCAGAATGCAATACCAGTCTAATGGTGAGAGAAAGAGAGTCATTTTTTTAGATATTAATTTTTCAAATTTATAACTGTATCAAATAAAATTGTGAAAACAATTGCTGTATGATGAAAATGTTCAACATAAAATTAGTTAATTAATTCACACTATAAAGCGCAAAAACATATCTGTGAAACAATATTATTAAATATTAAAAATACATATTCTTTCTTTTGTTGTCAGTTATTAAAATTGCACTGACTTATTCACACAAACAAAAAAATTACTTTAAAAATATCATCAATAATATATTTTTTTCTGTAAGTATTAAAAGGGACTCCACTGAGGTTTTTTGACATGACGGGACTGGAAATAATTTTTTGAGATTATTACTCCATTTGATGTAAATCTATACTAATTATGTGCAAAATTTCAGATCAATAGCTCGCTCCGTTTTTCCAGAATAATTATTATTATAGTGAAAAATGACCAAAAATTGAAAAGCGTTTAAACGGTTTTCACTCAAATCGGACTGAGAATAGCACAAACATATGATTTTCAATTTATTTCTAGTATATTTCTTGGTTATATTTCATTTATATTTCTGTTTTAAATGCTCATGTTTATCTATATGAAAAATCAATATTTTATGTTTTAAGGCTTATAAACCTCATTGGAGTTCCTTTAAACTAATTCATGAGTATTTCAAAGAAGGATTTAAGAGGTTATTGGGGTTAATTTTACATTAATTAGAACGTATGCTCTTATCAATTATAAACAGTATTATAAATATCTTTAAGCTTATAAAGTCGTTGATGGCATTAACGTGCCACTAACGTGCTCCATGATAACCGCCATATGAACATATCTGCGTGTGTTTCAAAATTCAAAATTTTACCAGTTCATGTTAAATGTGGAATTCTGCTTAGGTGCTAGGGGCGTTGACGGTAGCTTGCAATTACTTCTACCGTCCACGAACAAAGCCTGCTATATTTCAATTTTTGCAGTGTTTGACTTTCTTTAGGGATTCTGTATCTCTCTATTCTATTTCTTTTAACGACGACAACAAATAAAATGATAATACCCTTTGCTATTCCTTTTCTGCTTGGAATAAACCAGGTACAAATCATACCGATAAGAAACCCGGGCAGCTAATGCAGCAATCGCAGAACCAATTATAGCTACCACTCAAAAAACCTTTTTCGGTTTTTGCCTGTTATCATATAATTGTAAATGCCCGTCTTTATTTTACCTGAACTTATGAACTCTTCTTCAGACATTAATGCTAAATAATCACATGTATGTATTGCAGTAAAATCCTAAGTTGATTGTTGCTTCATTGGTGTTTAAAACATTAGACACATAATCTTATATACTTATCAATGTAAGACTTAATATTCATAATTATCTTACACAGACAAACAAACATTATCTAAACCTAAGTTGTTCGTGAATGGTAATATGTTCGGGTAATGAATTTTGCAGATGTTAACAATTCTTCTTTGCAATTCATAACATCATTTTAAGTTACATAAGTATACATGGCATAATGAATCTAATGATATAGTCAGGGCGTATCTTTATGGTTTATTCTTAAATATATTTAGGCAAAATTAAATAATTTTTGCTCATAATTTATCGAAATTCGTGCTGAATACGAACAAACTACAAAACAACTCATGTATGTTTTTCTCGGACTACCACTGTCTTATTCTATCACCTCAGTTACAATTTATGAAAACTAAACAGGAACGCACGCACACACACATACAAAAAATGTACGTAGCTCTAGCTATACTATAAAGGGCTTAAGGTAGGTCAATCTAGGTATGTGGTTCATAATATATTTGAAAAAGAAAAGTATCGAATCGGATTCGGACATCAGACAATGAGATATTGATTGATGTCTATAACTTCCTTGCATTTCTTGTAACTGATTGATTAATACCTTTTATATCAATGTGTTTTTTGTCAATCACCCACATACTTCAAACATTGAACTTAATAATATAACATACAATCGTGTATTTATCAAGATTATAAAAATAAGAAGAAAAAAAAGACCTAGAAGTTAAACAAACAATCTATTCATTCATGCTACATTTACCATAAAGAGAAATTAAAATCTATTAAAAGAAATGGTTTATCGAGGATTCAAACTTGCAACAATGCGGATACAGTTTCACCATGCTAACAACTAGGCCAATCGGCCGTTACATGTGCGTATTAACAATCAGAAACTATACTTTTAATAAAAAATCCTAAATATGTAAATCGTAATAATGCACTGAAACTCAAAATCAGTTTCAGGCCAACTTCGCCAAACAGTTATGGTGAACATGTATTATACAGGCACACTTGTGTTTACATTTGGATAGCTAGATTATGTAGGGGTTTCAGGTTATTAAGCTTATTACTCACTGTCTGGTACATGAAACGGTGAGAATTTTCCGTTGTGTTTCCATCCAGGATGGAGGAAGCACAAACAACATTAGACGAGGTGTTAGCCGAGCCTGATAAAGGTTTTGATGGGGTGCGATATGGACTCGATAAGAACGATGCAAAAATGTTAAGTTTGGACCTTATATTGGTACATCAAGTGGTAAAAATGCGAACGTGCATCGGTTATATTCTAGAAGATGTAGGCATGACATGAACTCGTATATCAAAGTATGTGTGATTGGCTATTACAAACTTGAAATGATTAATTGACCTAACAAAGATTTATAATGGCCATTTTGACAATAATAATGGAAGGAGAACCGTGTTGTACATATGTAAAATACAAATATAACATTTTCAAATTTTAATCTGTATATTAAGTACAAAATATTTATATATATATATAAGTGAAAGCTGATTAAAGAAAATGGTTCATTTGAGAATATTCCCTGTAAAACATTGAAGTTTGTCCGGGACATAACTCTGAAACTATAAGAAATAACAACTAGAAACTTTGAAGGTAGATAGATCTCATTGGGTAAATATACAGTGCAAAAGATTAATAATTCTGTCTTGCCTAATTTTGGAGTTATTGCCCTTTGTTCAGTTTTACAAATTTAAATGTTGTCTGGGGAATAACTCCAAAATTTTGAAAGGTATCTACAAGAAACTTTGTAGGTAGATAAATCTTATTAATAAGATGTGAGTGTTAAAGAATAACTCCGACTCTGCCTTATTTTGGAGTTATTGTCCTTTGTTAATTTTTACACTTTGAACTTGATATTAATAGCTTCCGTGGGCATGATATTAGCCCTTAAAACTGGAGAAAATGAAAAATAATTACGAAGAATGACCCTTTAAAGCCGAATTATTTTATGGATAAGATAATAATTGACTGCCTGTCATACCTACACAACTATAGTTAAACTTCATTCGCTCGAACAAGGATTGCTCGATTAACTCCCTTCGTTGAATGTTATCACCTGGTCCCGGCAAAATCCCAATACAATGATTTTTTTTGTATGTACAAATAAACCTCAAAATCTTAGACAGGTTAAGATTGTGTCAAAAACATTTATAATTAGTGCATACATGTATATGGCCCTTTAAAATGGAGAAATGAAAATAATTTTGAAGAACTGTTTAAGCCGAGTTATCTTATGGGAAAGGTAAAAGATGACAATACATTTGGTTTTCCCTGTCAAATTCAAGTTAAACTTTGTTCGATCGAACTCGGATTGCTCGAATAACTTCCTTCGCACGAAGTATTCGTCTGGTCTTGGCCAAATCCCCATATAATATTAATTGTATTGATGAATAATCCTCAAAATCATAGATAGCTATAGATTGTGTACAAAAACATTTATAACTGGTACATATATGGTAACCGAAAGGAACCAAGCAGGCGAGATAGATCTTTCAAATCTGCCAATATGTTTTATCGACCAAGCTTTAGATCTGCATACGTGTGAGATGCCCCTGCTTCCCTTCAAGGTTCTCATACTGTGATTGGCTGAAATTATAGATATGAAAAAATGATTAAGAAACGTCAGGGTATTATGAAGATAAATGGTATATTCAAAATATTTGATACAAATAATTTCATGACCAACTATGTATGTAAATTCCTTATCATAATCATTTGATAAAACATTATTGACAACAGTGTTTACTTCAGTTTGAACTTCATTATTTTAGTTCATTACCTGTTTGGTACTGCGCTGGAATTTCTTGAAGCTGAAGCATAATGTAAAATGATATCAATATTGTTGGACATTTGTTTATGAAAACAGTGACCTAAGAAAATGCATTGTTCATTTGTACATATACAATATACATACACGAGGAAAATGTTGACATAAATCAAAATGGATATAGTCCATTTACAAATGATGCATGAATATAACTTTATTGCAAACTGACCTTCAAAAACAAATAACAATGAACGAGTTTTATATCAGAACACAACAGAATTCCGATTAAACATACATTTATGCATATGATATAACAATAATTAAATCTCTTTGCAAACATTTTCCAAGATCAACTGCTGGCCAATCATCATTGTAACAGTCAATCTTTTGAAAAATATAGTCAATTCAGTCAATTTGACAATGACAATATGTCACTTATATAATATTTACGATTAATTCGATTAAACAGTGAACTTGACATATTTGAATATATCATTAAAAGAAACTTAATTAAGTCAAACTATACGAGTATGTAATATTATAAGCACGTATGACATTATTAAAAATGTGTTAGATTTTAAGATTTTGCAACTCATATCATTTGAGAGGTTGAATACAGGTTTATTAAGCTCTTCCAGCAAAAACACGAGTTTTAATTGTTGGTGAATTAATAAAAGCAATACTAGAGGACTAAAAAAATATTTTCTTATTATCTCTAAGCAGTTTAAGTAAGCGAACATTAAATGCGAGATAAAGCAGCTAAATATGGATCCTCACAACCTTAACTTGGAAATTAGCAAAAGGTGATGTCCCTCATTTGTCTTTTCGTATTAATGTATGTATTGTCAAAATGACATTAACCCGACTTGTGCTTATCTATATACACTTTTCTGTCGTTTTGATGCGGAGAACTCCAGCCTTCGTGATCAATAACACCGCATCAAAACAACATATAATAAAAACATAAAGATACCACTCAGACCGATATTGTTTGTTTAATATACAGACTTATGTCAAAATCCATGTGATATGATATCAGCAATGAACCAGTAAAATATCAAGTTAAGTTAAATAATTTGCAATGTAAATAAGAGAAAAAACCGTAATACCGTCTAGGAGATCATAAGTCAGCCTGCTTTCAGTATCTGTTCTATTTTGAAGCTGTTCGTAGGTATCCCTAGAAAATACGATTTTGTTATGTGGACTTGCAATTACAGTATGGTTCATCTCTTTTTTTCTGTTTTTTTCCCCACACAAATTAGAAATATTGATATGTAATAATTTGTTTATGTGTGTGTAATATTTATGTGATTCATCTTTAATATATTTAATCATTAAGTAAATTTAGTTTTAAGGTATAAAGACCATGGAGCAAAAATAATATTATCTATTTTAAGCAATATAAAAACTAGAAATAATGGCTGCTTACGGTGAAAGTGACAACACATTTAATTCTGTTTCTCGTGACACTGATGCTGGCTGATGCTGATTTTGATTCTTCAGGCCTATTTCAAAAGATATAATATTAGGTATTTTAACTTGTTTTCAATACTATAGTGTTTCACGAGTGTCAATTACACATATTTCGGTGTCATTAGTCTATCAATTTATGGAACATTTAGTGCAAATCAAGTCTTTTCCTATCATTTTTTTAAAAATAAATTTAAAAAATCATAAAAATGACATTAAACTACATGTAGCTATTTAAAAGTACCTGTTACTGTCCGTTTTCTTTTTAAAACAACCCATATACAAACCGCACCGCTTAGAACACTAACAATTAGTGAACCAATGGCAATCGCGGCGATAGCTCCTGCTGCTATACTTATGTCGTTTTCATCTGCAATAACAACAAGTAGAGATTTTGATGCTAAAGCATCAAGTCGCCGGATAGAAAAATGATTGTATTATCATAAATATAAGAAAATATAAGTTTAATGGTTCAAGTATAAAAATAAGAGGAACAATGAGTTGTGTAAGGTTTGCCACTGAGGCTTGTAAGGCAAGTGCTATGCTGGTTATTCTTCTTGTAATTTTACTTTATACATATACTGTTGTACCATACATTGAAATCCGTATAGGTTACTAGTTCAGATTCAGATAATTAACGACAAATAATTACCGATCATCGAATATTTGCAAAGTGACGATGAAAATATATATGTTTAATTATTACATGAAACAATACAATTTTATTGTAAAAGTGTTGTACATCATTATTATGTGCTATAGAAAAAATATATAATTTAGTTGAAATCAATACACGTATTCCAATCGTTACATACGATATATAAAATTAACGTTTAATTGCCTTTCAGTGCGATAAACTATCAACACAAAGATAGTTTATTATTTTTTTCTATGTATCTAATACGATTCCGGACCCCTGACGGAAACCGACGGAATATACCGAAATCAACGATTACCATTATATATTTCAATAATGTGCCTCTTAAGCATAACATTATTTTGGGATGTTCAACCTAAACTAAACAATTGAACTTTCTTGTCGAATGTTTGACAGAAAGGGCCAAGTTAAACCCTTTACCAAGAAGAAAGGTAAAGGTTTTAAAAATGTATTTTTAATGTAAACAGGTTTCTCTAATGATATATGTATGAACCTGATTAATGAAAAATAACTTATGTAATTATCTGTACAAAATTACAATGATTTACATCTAATCAGTTACCACCATTAACAAGTTACCTGTCTTATCAGCAATCTGTAACTATTAATAGATTTTATAACGATATACAACATAAACATGTAGTCACGTGATTCTTACGAAAGACCAGGGAGCATTTGTTTATAATTAGATAAAATAATGTAATATAAAAGGTCTCATAAAAAATAAACAACCAAATAATTATAAAGTGTCATTTCAAATATCATTCATGATTTATATATTATAAAATAGCAATGCTTGACACACAGAAAAAAGTAAAAGTATCTCTAATATTCAATGACTGATCCTTGGGGATACGTTATTGATTCATTTTATGAAAATTGTAATGTTGCTTTTTAAGATGTCAATATGTGCATATTTCATTCCACTGAGCAAAGTTATCATATGTTTGATTTTTTTGTGATTACTGAAAAATAAGTGTTGTCTTTAACTGTTCAATGTTTGATATGCTTTTATTTTCAGATTTTAAGGGCTTCTCCTACCATAGGTATAATATTAAACTATTACAAATATAGTCGCCGGTTTCTACCGGCGACTAATAACACGATAAAGTCTTGATAGTGCCTGCTCTAAACAACACATCTCGTTACAAGGACTTCATTCGCATACAATTAATTAAGACGGTTGTTTTTATATATTTATTCTCTCAGTCATTTACACAAAAAAATACCAAATGGATTTAAAATTGTTTTTATAACATCTATAAATGGTAAAATTATGTTGCTTTCATAAATTTGTGGTTTATTATGAAATAAAATTTAAATAGGATAATTATTTTTGTTAAATATATGCGGGTATACTATCTGCTGAAATAATTCATCATAGCCTGGTCACATTATTCTCCAAATGAAAGCTTAAAACGTGGGAAAATACAGGTAACAAAACGAAATAGATATGAAAAAATGGACCTGTTGTAAAGGTGAAGACAACCTTCTAACTGCTACTCACAAACCTATGTGTTATTTATTGTATATTGAACAAATACGGAAATGATATAAAACTAACTGTAACAAAACTGAACAAACATTCACTCAAACTGTTACATTGAGCTGCTTAAGTTGAGAATTTATTTTGTACATGTAGAAACCTTTACTCATTCATAAAATATTCAATGTTCTGTATTTCATCAAAAATAAAAACACATACCCATACATAAGGGTCTTGAGCTGGTGATCCAGAATAGTCTTAATATTTTACTCTCAATCATTCTTGTGCGAATTTATAAGATATCATACTTCTGAATAGTATTTTAGATCTGCCTATAACAGGTAAAGAATAAGCTTCAATTATCAAATTCTTTAGAAATCCTGCTTTGTTCCATTTATTTGCCGGATAAATATTCGCCTTAGACCTGACCCATTATGAATTGCAATTTTGTCACCGGATGTCTTGACCGGATGTTTACAAATTCACTGTTAAATTTAGACGAAAAAAGCAGTATTGGCTATAATAAAAAAATTCTCAGCAGCACATTGTCATTCTGGGCATGGCCCTACGCAGCCAATTACATTCAATCGAGAAAATAATAACTCCCATTGGCCTTAGGGAAATTGACAATATAAAAAGTGAGGGATAATAATATCTTTTTTTCAACAAGGCGCCTGTCAAATAATAAATATCTCAATTTCAGGCAACATTAAAACAAATATTATGCATAAAGGCCCATATTTTATTTTACCTTTTCCTTTTTCCATTAGATTAGAGCTAGTAAAAGTAATATACTCAACTCATCTACATATAAAAGAGCATTGAACAAGTTGCTGTTTTACCTGTTGTACTCATAGTACGGTTTGTCTCTCCACTACTTTGGTTATCTGTAATAAAACAAGTTCGATTAGTGACCACATGTGTGTTACCTCATGATAGCCAATTGCCTGTCGCAGCTCTGTGTACAAATAGACACAGAAATCATTAACTGGGCAAAACGGGTTTTTATTCAAAGGCCATAACTCAGCAAAAAATTATTCAACAGGCAAACCCGTGAAATATGCACAAGGACCTGAGCTATCGAACCAAACTTTTATTGAAATTGCATTAGTGATTCAAGAGGAGAAGTCCGGACACATTTAAAAAAAATATTTAAGGGTCACAACTCTAACAAAAATCGTTGAACAAAAAATGCACAACTAGACATGGTATTGATCATTCCTGTTAAGTTTGGATGAAATTGCACTAGTAATTTCCGAGAAGTCATCCATAAATCTTATGTTTAGCTGGTTACACAATATAATTCTTTTTTATTCCATTGCAATAACTCGGCAAAAATCATTTAAGCAGAAAGCACGTTTAATATGCGCAAGTACTTGCGCTAATGATCAATCCTGTAAAGTTGCATTAATTTGCACAAGTAGTATAAGGGTAGTAGTCCAGAAAATCTATAAAAATAAGAATACTTAAGGGACCATACTATGACAAAAATCATTGTACAAGAAAAAGCCGATAAAATAGCAAAGGATCAAACCAAATATACACAAGGATGTATCCTATCAGGTATTTAAATCCTGTTGTTCATGGGTAACAGCAAGGGATGATGTGTTTTATTAGGCTTTAGAAAGGTAAGTGGTTCACAACTAAATAAAGGATTAAACAGATTTGCCTATGTGTTGCAAACGCCAACAAAACCATTAACAAAGCGTTTAAATTAGTTGAATGTGAAGAAATTGTCCAGAGGTATACAGTGACTGTGACTTCTTAAAGAGGCAAATTTCTTTTCCTTGCCATCTTTCATCAATTTTTACTATTTCATGTTTAAATGTTGAATTCTGCTTAAGCCGGTGCTAGGGGGCGTGGACAGTAACTTGCACTTTCCAGTACCGTCCATGAACAGGCTCAATCAAACCGAGCCTGCAACATTTTCAATTTTGCCGTGTTGGGCTTTCTTTAAGGATTCTGTATTTATCTATTTTAACAATGCACATACTGTATAAGTGGTTAATTTTGCGACGTGGAAATATTTGGGATTTTGAGTAATTGAAATTATTCGCAGCGTTAAAATTATTTCTTTTTAGGCAACTGTGTTTCTATCATTTTAAAACAAGTTTTCATACAGCATCTTACATGAGTAAGTTTGACTGACAGGTTATGAGATTGATTTCTCTCATTGCTTGTTTGTTTAAGTTTGGTCTTCACAAATCATAAATGTTATAATTAAAATATATATGTATGTTAATAACACAATAAGTTATTCATATAACAGAATGATGTTTCAAAATATGACCAGGCCCTTTATCAAACTAACAATGTATAATTCAATTGATTATATAAATAATAGAGGTATTAAAAACTGAATGGAATTAATAAAATAATAGCATATTCTTAACATGTACCTGCTTAATTAATGAAATCAAATTTTGACGCAAAAATATCCACTTATATAGTATATACATCCTGTATACTATTTGAAAGTTTATGTTAACATTTTTAATTTACATTAAATATATTTTCAGATTTGCTGTTAAAATTCAATGATGACATAAATGTGTACAAACATGGTAGTTATCTTTAAGGTTTAAAAAGACAGTTTAAGGGACTTTCTTTTGTTTAATTCTGACAATATATCTTACTTGTAAGGTCATGATCTTATCATTTATACAAAAAGAAATGCTTATAGATAACTTACTGACGTCAGTATAAAATGTCGGATTGTTTTCAGAGGTAAAAGAGTACCCATAAGGATCTCCAGTAACAGTAACATAACACTCGAATGCCAGATTGTTATCCCTTTTGGCATCAGCTGCCGTTGTGTTGTACTTGATTGAAGCCACACGGGTATATCCGCACTGATTGTCACTAATTGAAGTGCCTTCATCAACAGTACCTTGTGGTGGTTGGTAGCCAGTAAATTCATTGGTTTTAGACATTTCAGATGTTTTATGCCACCGAATGAGTGTTCCTTTTAAGGTACCTATATTCGCAGTACATGTAAGTTCTAACTCATCGCCTACCTCAGCAGTGGCCATGTCAGATGGTGACATTCCTTGTACTATAAAACCATTCTTCCTTGTAATTAATGATGTCACTTGAGGTTTAACTGGAATTGTTATTGTAAACATTACATGGTTAATATAATATTTTATTAACGCTGTCATTTCTTCTTATATATCCTTATGTTATAAATTATTCGGCAAGAGGGGAGTGAAAGAGATTTATTCTTAACCCTATGCATGCTGGAAATATTGTCGTGTGCTAACAATTCTGTCTGATAAAATTTTGAGCTATTTTTTTTTTTTGGGGGGGGGGGGAATTATAGTACATGACAGGACGCCTAGATATACGGAGTGGGTCAGAATTATAATCGTTTTAAAGGCTACTGTGATTGCTCTTAAGACACACATGATTTTGTATAGATAATAACCCGTGATTATATTTTTCTCTACATACATTGTTGTCCCCGGAAAAAACCTAGCCACACTTGTAGGGAAACCCAGAAGGTTACCGAACAAAAATAGGAAAGAGCACGCACTAGGGCAGAAAAGGAGAAAGTACATGCCAATAACTGTTACAATTATCAATTAAATAAGAAGAAGAATAATACGTATTACAAAACATAATGGCTAATACGAGAATTAAAGGCACAAGGGGGATCTTAGGGGAAGTGTTGGTTGGGACAAGATGAAAAATGAGAGGGGTATGTAATGGAATATTTACCGCTGAAGACAACTAACATGATGGTACATTACAGAACGTGTCATAATACTAACCAAGTTTTGATACACAAGACATACATGCGAAGGACACAAAAGGTACGCCTTGGAACGGTCGGTGGTAAAACACGCTTGGGGTTAAGACCGGTTGTAGGCTCGACAAACCACACTCTTAGCCCCAATAGGTTCGCTTTTAAGAGACAGTGTAACAGTGTTAAATAAAATAAATCCCAGAGAAGTGAATTTCTAATAGTTGTCATGGTAACATTCGACGAAATAACTAACACTTCGACATAAATGACACTTAACCGTAAAAATGAATATATACATTTCTGTAAATAGTATATGACATCACACCATATATAACAGTACAAAAATCGGAAATTCTTATGTGATTTACAATATGTAAGTATATCTTGCTACAAGATGAAAGTGCAATCTGATACGAGTTGTAATTTCTAATAACATTTAGAACAACCGTAATAAAGCTATCAACTTACGCTCTTAACATGAGAAACTAAAACTATAGTGTTCCACATCAAATAATGAAAGGATAAAATAATTTGAGGTATTGTGTATGATAACGGTAGTTGATATTAATTATGATAGTAAACTGTCACCGGACACGGGAGTAAGATATGCCTAATTTAGTTTATTGATGCTCATGTCATCACATAAGCGGGGATTGTACTGATAGGAAGTAAACATAATTGTTAGCTTAATTGTTAGCTGTCCAGTTATGAATTATGGGTTAATAAAGATTAAAACGTAAGTGGGTTTACTATTTAAGATAGGCCAAATATTACATTCTTTAGTGTGGTTTTTGATGTTATATAGACTCACTCACTCAGGTTAAATTATGCTAAATATGCAGTTGACATTTAATCTTATTGCTTTACGTATTTGTTTAAGAATTGTGAAATTATTAAAGACACTGATTAAACAATTGTTTTTTTTAGAATATTTATCTTATACTAAATAAAAACATATATATGACGTTTAAACTTGATATCGTGTTGACTTATTCAAATTGAGTTATTCAGATCTGGGCGTTACACTACAAGGGACGATTATGATCATTTCTATCATTATTAACTAAATAAATTTAAGGATTTTATATTTCATTATGAAAATATTCTGATTATAAAACAAACAAGCAAATACACAGAACATGCTTGATAATTATGCAAGTATGATACAGTTATAAGATTATTTTTAATCTTAAAGATAAACTGATGGTAAAAACAACGTTGATAAAGCTTATACGACAGTGCACTTGTGATGAAGACTTAAACTACATATAAATACATGAACATGTCATTCTATACACAGTTGTCAAATATGTTCAGACAGTTAAAACGAACTAAAATGAGCCGCGCCATGACAAAACCAACATAGTGCGTTTCCGACCAGCATGGAACCAGACCAGCCTGCGCATCAGCGCAGTCTGATCAGGATCCGTGCTGTTCGCTTACGAACCCTATAACAAGTTGAGAAACTGATAGCAAACAGCATGGATTCTGATCAGACTGCGCAGATGCGCAGGCTGGTCTGGACCCATGCTGGTCGCAAACGCATTATGTTGGTTTTGTCATGGCGCGGCTCAAATATCCATTCATACATGTATATGCAAGTATGTATTTTACATATTTTGCCAACCAAAGTTTTATATATGGTATGATGTACTACTTTCACGTATTAAAGGTTTAGAATATGCGTTATCTTTAAATTAAGAAACACATACTATATGCTGCGCCACTCGTGAAATATACCTTTTGGTGCTCACTCGGTGAAATATATTTCAATCTTACACTAAACTAAACAAATTTTCTTTTTATTATATGCAAAGAAACGTTTTAAAAAGACATTTAACCTAATACTGAATGAAAAGCGCGCCAAATAATAATATAACGGGACGTCATTTACGACGTCACGTCATTAAGTTGGTTCCCAGTACTGTGCACGCTGGCATTTCACTGAAATAACGTAAGGGGCTTAAATTCAAAACAGTGAAATTATCAAAGTGGTAATTTCACTGTTTCAAACAGTGAACTTACCATTTTTATATCACTGATATATTTCTATAAACCACCGAAATACATGTAATAAATTAAATTACACAAATTGTGGAATTTTTATAATACATCTCACATTTATAAGCTGTAACATCATCACAAACTAACTTTTCTATGTTCATAGACAATGCAAGATATGTGTTAGTAGGTGATGTTGAATTCCATGATCCTCTAGCAACATAATCTTTACTATCTGCTTTATTTTCTTGACTTACAGTAGTTGCATTTTTTCCAAATTCCATTTTAGCTAATACTTCCCAATGTATTAAAGAACGTGTTGCTGATGTAAGTTTCCATATCCATATGCGATTAAAAGTATCAACATCTGTTTCAGTGACATCGCATGTCATAGTTAATGTACCTGTGCTGCCCAGTAAAACTTTATCCTTGCTAAAAGTAAAATCCACACCAGAAACTGTAAATGTAACAATGGGAATAAAAATTGTATTTTGAGTAACATTCCAAATCCTACATCAAACATTGTGCGACGTAACCACGTTTCAAGTTCTGACATTTTAATTTTGTATGTTTTTTAAAAAGTACATTTGATAGTATTGATAAATAGATATCATGGCTTTATGGATAAAATATTTATCGAGAATGAAAAATATCATTTTAACATGGTTATGAAAAACACTGTTTAGAACATTGGTATATTAAGAACAACAAGAATTTGTAACAGATTTACCAACGTCCCCCGCCTCGGGGAAGTTTTATATGAAGCATTAAATTGTGCTATTTCAAAAGATTGAGGTATGGATTTCAGAACTTTTAGTCCAAAATAATGATCAATGTTAGATCTGCAAATGCAACAATAAATTTATTAAAGAAATACTAGTAAAATGAAACACAGAATTTAAAATTCTATCATGTTAACCTTTGACCTCTAAGTGTGACATTGACCTTGGAGGTAGGGGTGCAGGTGTTGTGCATGACATATCGTCTTATTAATATTACTATTACTTTTTGTGCCAAGTAATTTCAAAATCCCTTGAACTATGTAGAAGTTATAGATCGGACACAAATATACCCTATAACAGACTATGTCAATCTTTGACCTCTAAGTGTGACCTTGGAGGTTGAGACCCATGTTTTGCGCCTGACATATCATCTTATTATTGTGATTATTTGTACAAAGTATTTTTAAAATCCCAGGTTATGGATTGGACACAAATTATACCCTATAACAGACTATGTAAATCTTAGACCTCTATGTGTGACCTTGACGGTAGGAATACATGTGTTACGCATGACATATCATCGTATCATTGTGACTTTGTGCCAAGTATTTTTAAAATCCCTTGATCTATAAAGTAATTATAGACGGGACACAAAATAAACCATATAACAGACTCAGTGTTAACATTTCACCTCTAAGTGTGACCTTGACCTTGGAGGTAGGGGTGCAGGTGTTGTACCTGACATATTATTATTGTGACTATTTGTGCCTACTTATTTCAAAACCCTTAAGAAGTTCTAGATCAGACACAAAATATACCCTAAAACGGATAATGTGAACTTTTGACCTCTAAGTGTGACCTTGACCTTGGAGGTAGGGGTGCAGGTGTTGTAGCTAACATATTATTATTGTGACTATTTGTGCCAAGTTATTTCAAAATCCTTAAGAAGTTCTAGATCAGACACAAAATATACCCTAAAACGGACTATGCTAACTTTTGACCTCTAAGTGTGACCTTGAACTTGAAGGTAGGGATGCAAGTGTTACGCATGACACATTGTCTTTTTATAGTGACTATTTGTGGCAAGTATTTACAAAATACTTTGATCTATGAAAAAGTTGGACTTGACACAAAATATACCCTGTAAAAGACTATGTTAATCTTTGACCTCCAAGTGTGACCTTGACCTTGGAGGTAGCTGACCAGTTCTTGCGCATGACACATTGTCTCATTATTGTGAACAATTGTGACAAGTATTAACAAAATCCCTTCAAAGATAAGAAAGTTATGGGCCGGACACGACATATACCATCAAATAGACAATGTTGACCTTGAATGAGCAAGTGCGACCTTGACCCTGGAGGTAGGGGTCTGGTTGTTGCGCATGACACATCGTCTTAATATAACAAAGATTTGCGCCAAGTTTTTCAGATTCCTTTGATAAATGAAAAAGTTATGGACCTGACACAAAATATACCCTGTAAAAGACTAAGTTAATTTTTGACCTCCAAGTGTGACCTTGACCTTGGAGGTAAGTGACCGGTTTTGCGCAATTCACATCGTCTCATTATTGTAAACAATTGTGGCAAGTATTTACAAAATCCCTTCAAAGATAAGAAAGTTATCGACCGGACACGACATATACCATCAAATAGACAATGATGACCTTGATTGAGCAAGTGCGACCTTGACCCTTGAGGTAGGGGCCTGGTTGTTGCGCATGACACATCGTCTTAATATAACAAAGATTTGCGCCAAGTTTTTCAGATTCCTTTGATAAATGAAAAAGTTATGGACCTGACACAAAATATACCCTGTAAAAGACTAAGTCAATTTTTGACCTCCAAGTGTGACCTTGACCTTGGAGGTAAGTGACCGGTTTTGCGTAATTCACATCGTCTTATTATTGTGAACAATTGTGGCAATTATTTACAAAATCCCTTCAAAGATTCATTGTAAGAAAGTTATGGACCTGACACAACATATACCATCAAATAGACAATGATTACTTTGAATGAGCAAGTGAGACCTTGACCCTTGAGGTAGGGGCCTGGTTGTTACGCATGACACATTGTCTTCTTATAACAAACATTTGTGCCAAGTTATTTTAGATTCCTTTGATAAATGACAAAGTTATGGACCGGACGCGAAAGTGTGACGGACGGACAGACGGACGGACGTTCTTACAGGAGAGTAATTATGTGGCTACTCTATTGTTCTTTCTATTGTTCTTTTTAGCCACACAAAAGAAAATAGCAACATAAGAGCATTACGGAATGAATGACATCAAAGAGAAAGAACAGTTACCAATTGTCCCTCTAGCCACATAATTACTCTCCTGTGAGTGCGGACGGACGGACGGACGGACAGACAGACAGACGGACGGACGGAGCCTTTTACTATATCCCCCTTTTTTCTTCGAAAAGGCGGGGGACAAAAACAGTTTGACCGTAAAAATGGTCCATGTATACAACTGAAAATAATTAGAGCTAAATCGTTAATTGTAATTGATTGCAAAATGACTTACCTTTAAAGAACGTAAATGCGATAAAGAAAACAAAACCTTTTAAAATTCCTGACATTTTTTTCTACGATTTAAATAATCTCTCTACTTTATGAATTCAAAGTAGTATTATATTTTGTTTTTTGATGTCGCCACATTTTTTGAGTATTGTCACATTTTTGGGTAACATCGGTGAAAGCCGGGATTGACCGAAGCGCATCGTCGATCGATGATTGGTCTACCGTAAACAGTCGAGTGGATACGGAAA